GCCACTAGCCGCGTCTAACGTCACGATTGGATATGCTTTAACATCGGACACACAGACATCAAACATTTACATACCATTTACAATAACTTCATTCATATCCTTTCTCTCTGCTTTTTTCTTTTTTGTGATATATCTTATATACGACAGAAAGCAGACTAGAAGATCGATGACGAAAGCAGATGATTTGCAAAATCCAAGAAAGGTTCCGAAGGCAGTTAAATTATTTATTTTGTCAATGTTTGGTTCAATATTATTTATTTTAAATGGAGTCGACGAATCATTTACTGGCTTTCTTGCAACTTACTGTGTCCAGTTTTTTAATTGGTCCAAAAAAGATGGGGCTTTAATTACGTTCGTTTATTTTGTTCTTGTCTTCAGTTCGCGTATTTTTGGTGTCGTTGTAGAAAAATGGATGAATACTATCATATATACGGTGGTAAACTTTGTTATATTGTGTATTTCTGTTCTAGGAATGTTACTAATATCCTTATATAATTTTGACACGTTAGTTTGGTTTTTTTCCCCAGTGTTTGGTTTTGCTAAATCGTGTTTATTTCCCCTAATATTCTGCTGGACAAATGATTACATAACACCTCTTACAGGCCGGATATCATCATTCTACTACACAGTTATGATGGTAGGTGGCGCCCTCAATCCAGTCTTACTTGGAAATGTTATGGAGCATGTAGGATTGGTATGGTTTTGTTTTGTGTTGCTCATTGAATCATTTCTTATTCTTATATTCGTTTCCATTGTTGTCATGGCTACAAGATACATCGTGCGTTGCTATGGACGCCCTTCCTATAAAACAGCAGAAAAACAAGCTGAGAATTTGAACAATAGTTCATCTGACGTTGTTTAAAGTACTGGTAGCGTATGTTCTAAGTTTGCTGAATTCATCTGACGTGAGGTTCTACACTTTTACTCCAGATTGGAGATTTTAAAAGTGTATTTCGTTACTGTTATGTATTTCTTCATACAGAGGAATTACAATGACATGAGTATAACTTATACCTTATGTGTTCTGAGGAGTGATAGCTAGACTCTGTTACTTACCTGAAGTTATTTCACTATTGTTATTTTGTTGTAACAATTTGTTACATTGTATGTTTCTTATATCTGTTTGTAATCAATCTTATTGTCAAACTTCTATCTTCAAAACTCAGGTGTGGATCATGTAGATGTAAAATGTTTTGTTACTTTTTATTATGTATGTATATCATGTAGCTTCGTATCATGCAATCCCTTGACTCCGTATCAGACAGGTTTATGATCGCGTTATTACTTGTGTTAAATGTACACAATCCTGCCCATTGTATCAATTTGATTGACCCTGAACTAGTCATTGTTCCAAACAGTACTTCCTCGTTGGTATGTACTGCACAGTTATATCTGCAAATATATATCCTATTATACGTATGTATAATCTGATTTTCATTTTTGTGAACTTCTCTACTACCAATGAGCCTTATTGATACAAATGTAGTGTTCTTGATGCTCTGAATTTTGTAATCTTCGAAATTGTAGAACCACTACTACTTTTTCTAATACATATACCTGTATAAACCTTTCGTAAACTTAGGGTGTTCGGCTAGAAACCGTAATACTTGAAATAGTTCGCTATGCCTTTAAAATACCGATTACCAACAGCTTTCTTTAGATATTTGTGTAAGTCAAATAGATACTATGTTTTTAAGTCAAATAGATACTATGTTTTAAGTCAAATAAATACTATGTTTTTAAGTCAAATAGATACTATGCTTTTAAGTGAAATAAATACTATGTTTTGAGTCAAACAAATACTATGTTGTTTATATATAATAGTCCTTCGCTACAGATATTGAACTTCACTATGCACTCCTGTCTAAATATACCTAGTCTATCCTTGAATATCAGGATCATATTTTTACTTCCTTTACATCCCAAATATGTTCTTATCCTACTCTATTTCCAAAACTCTTAATTATCTGTACCTGTACATTCACCAACGAGGATCTGTCTGATTCATAGTAAACCGTGCGATCAGTATTATTTTCGCGCACACAAGAAAGATTTTTTTTTTAATCATACATTAATAAATATAAGTTGAATATTTGTGCAAATAAAACCGGCGATAGCATTCCACCAGGAACACTCCGTTCTTAACTTTCGAAGAGTTTTGTTACTATGGTATCGTATTTGACATCGCATTTCACTTTTTGATATAGTAATCTAATAACCGACATTTCCCCATTTGTACCCTCTCTTATTAATTACAATTTATACTAGGTATATTTCTACCTACTTACGAAATCCAGGTATTTTTGTAGTCAATAAAAGAGCAATACAACCTATTCTTACATGTTAACCTTCAGTTGATCAAAGCTTATAACATGAATATTACATCGTTCTTTCTATATCCAAAATATACATTATACTTTTCTCAAACTCTACCAGTTAGTGATTAAGAATACAAGCAGCACTGATATCCAGCGTCTCGCCATTATCACGTCTGAACGTTTGCTGACAAATTGATCGTTCTGTCTGACATTTAACTGTAAATGTTGACAAAACTAAAGTGATGGTTTTCAGAAATGGTGGTAAGTTGAAGAAGACAGATAAATGGTTTTACAATGGTAGTTTGTTAGAAAATGTTGATAGTTTTAATTATCTTGGAATAATGATGAAATTTAATGGTAAATTCAATTTGACGCAACAGAAAATAGCTGAGCAAGGAAGGAAAGCATTATTTGGTATAACAAACATTTGTAAGAAAAATTATTTCAATATTGAAACTCAACTTAGCGTTTTTGACACTTTCGTATGTAGCATACTGAACTATGGATCTGAAGTTTGGGGTTTCCATAAGGCGTCAGATATAGAAAATTTAAATTTTTTGTAAGAGAATCTTAGGGGTTAAGAAAAGTACACCAAACGTAATGATATATCAAGAATTGGGCAGGTTACCTTTAAGTATAATTCGAAAATTTAGAATTTTTAAATATTGGATTAAAGTAAGAAATTCAGAAAATTGTATTCTTAAGTCGTGTTATAAAGAAATGCTTGATAGGGGGAGTGAATGGACAAATAGTGTAAAGGACGAGTTATTTAAAATGGGTTTAGGATATGTGTGGGACAGTAATTATTTTAATAATGTAGCTTTTATTCTGAATGTAATTAAATGTAGGATGTGTGATGTTTTTGAGCAAGAATGTATGGGTTTGATTGAGTTGTCTTCAAAGTGTTCATTGTATAAATTCATTAGTGGTAAATTTTGTCTAAACAGTATCTAACAAAATCTATTGGTTCACAAAATATCAAAGAAATTGCAAAAATAAGATTATCATCGCACAAATTGTATATTGAAACCGGTAGATACAATAGCGTTGAAAGAATTGATAGAGTTTGCAACTTTTGTACGAGTGGCGATATTGAAGATGAGTATCACTTTATTTCAAAATGCGAACATTATAAAGATATAAGGAAACGTTTTATTAAAAAGTATTACTATATGAAACCAAGTATGGCAAAATTTATTAAACTTTTGGAAACAGAAAATACTAAAGATCTGTCGAATTTAGGAAAATGTATAAGTATTTGTAACAAAAGGAGAATAAATACTGTTTAAGACATTAATTTAATTTATATGTGTAGAGTTAGATATATGGACTTATTCTTTACACTTTGATCCTGTGTACGTGGTCTGTGTGTGCTGTGTGCTATGTATTTCCTATGCTTGTTGTTGTGTTTGTACTTGCACTGTAAATATATGCACTGTACTGATAAACCGTAAGGTTTAAAGTAAATAAACTGATGAACTGACAGATTACTCTGTGAATGATTTAATCTTATTAATATCTAATGACATAATGTACAGTAAGACAATACGGATAGAGAAAGGAAACATTGGCATTTTTTTAAAATGTTTGTCTGCATAACTGTCATCCATAACGACCATAAACGTCACCAGGCAGTTTAACATTTGCCTAGCTGTCCTCGTAGAAACATTTATTATACTGTAAGAGGAACTGTTTTTCATTGATCGTTTTGATAAAAAGAATCTTTCTGCTCAGACGCAAATTGTAGTATGAAAATCGCAAAATAAAAGTAACGAAACAAAATCTATTTGTCCGATCATTTCGTTTCTATTGTGTATGTATAGAATACTGTCCAACATCCGATAAATTGATCAAATTAATCATACTCCAGGTAGCGAAAATCGTGTGCATAATTTTGAATCAAAATCTGCATTAAGCACTGTTGCTGAAATATGGCATTTACAACTGATATGAATAACATTGATCTGCTACTTCAATTTTCTTGTTGCGTTGGCGCAGACGATGATGTTGGATTGAAAAACCGTCATTTATTTTGACCGTTGTTAAAGACGTTCTTTTTGAAATGAGGTTATCTGTTCATTCTTTCTGTCTCACAAGCTGCGAGGCAAAGTATAAGTTTGTGTGGGTACGTGTAAGCAGATTTGTTCCTATATAAATGTTAAATGATGTTGCCATTTTTATGTTTTCTGGGACATTCTATTTGATTGAATACTAACTTTTAATGCTTTGTACGATACGCATTCTGCCAGAGACGTTTACAGCATATATGTATACACGTCTCTGATTGTGCTAATACTTATGCAAAGCACTGAATGCGTAATGCTTCAAATGTAAAGAAGTTTTATGAAATAGACTTCTTCATTTTGATCAAATAATTTCACATTAAGCATTTTTCGTAAGGCATTTCATATTTTGCATGAAGTTTTTCACGTTTGGCATAAAACATTAAGCGTAACGCATTTTGCATAAATCCTTTATCATAAAGCTTTATACACGTTGTACCGACTTTCCTTGGAACAAAAACGAACCGGGTAGCTCGTATAGGTACGACAGATTTGTCCGTAACAACGGCATAACCGATAGGCCCTAAGAAAAAAAATTCATTCAGGAAGGCCTCGAACGTCAGCGGCCCGTGCGAAGTATCGACTTTTATTGCGCATGGGCAGACGATGCTGATGTAATTCCTCGTCTCGCTCACAGCTGTGCTGTCGACCTGTCTGGAGAAAACTGTAATCTTCCACCGCCTCCACCCAGGTATGTATCATACCAAATTAATGATTGATAGTATTTTTTAAGAATTAGAAAACATTGTCTTTATTATGACTCATTATACCGTTTGACGTGGTATATCAAAGCGTGCAGACACATGTGTATGTGCACGTTTTATTCAATGAAATACACAGACAATCATATTACACACATGCTGAATGTACGTGTGTTATGCCAAATGCCATAATTTTGACGCTAATTATGTGGTATGCTTCATGGAGCCAGTGTTTCAGACAGTATTGTTGGAGGATACCTAGTTCTAGAAACGAACGACCTGCTGCGTACACAGTTATGTCGGCATTTTTATGAAAGACACTAGCAGAAAATAATCAATAAATGGCTAGCCCACGAATGGAGGAGCTTATTTATAAATAAACTGTCATTACCTGCTTGCCGTAAACTGATGAAAATCGCCCAAAAGATTAACAGGAATCTCCAGAGCATGTTTTCAGTTAAAAATTAATAAAAAAAAAAGAACTGAATCAGCATGCTTAATTATACAAACTGTGTTGAGGGTAAAAAAGATGTTTGGCATGACAGTTGACAATATGTTAACAAAATAAAAAGTTTGGAAACCTGCATGATGTGATATCATATTCTTATAACAACATCCTAATATATTACATTGTTATAAAAACATCCTCATAATATCACATTTTTATAAAACATCTTCCTACTATCACATTCTTTTAAAAACAACCACATAATATCACATTCTTATAAAAACATCCTTATAATATCACATTCTTTTAAAAACATCCACATAATATCACATTCTTATAAGAACATCCTTATAATATCACATCCTTATAAAACATCCTCATACCATATTCTTATAACAAAATCCTCATAATATCACATCCTTACAACAATATCCTCATACTATCACATCATAATATCACATAATTATAAGAACATTCTTCTATCACATCCTTGTAACAATATCCTCATACTATCACATTTTTATATAACATCCTCATAACATCACATTCTGATAACAACATCTTCATGATATCACATCCTAATATGAACATCTTCTTAATATCACATATACAGACAACATTCTCATATCACATTCTTGTAACAATATCCTCATAATATCACATCCTTATCGCAACTTTCTCATAATATCACATTCTTATAACAAAATTAATATCACATATTAGCAACATTCTCATAATATTGCATTCTTATAAAAACATCCTCATATCATATTCTTATAACAAAATCATTATAATATCACATCCTTATAACAACATCCTCATAATATCACATCTTAACATTATATCTTCTAAATATCACATATACAGACAACATTCTCATGTCACATCCTTGTAACAACATGCTCATAATTTCACATCATATTAACAATATCCTCATGATATCACATCATATTAACAACATGCTCATAATTTCACATCATATTAACAATATCCTCATGATATCACATCATCTTAACAACATGCTCATAATTTCACATCATATTAACAATATCCTCATGATATCACATCATATTAACAACATGCTCATAATTTCACATCATATTAACAATATCCTCATGATATCACATCATCTTAACAACATGCTCATAATTTCACATCATATTAACAATATCCTCATGATATCACATCATATTAACAACATGCTCATAATTTCACATCATATTAACAATATCCTCATGATATCACATCATATTAACAACATTCTCATAATATTACATTCTTATAAAAGCATCCTCATAATATCACATCCTTACAACAACATCCTCATAATATCACATTTTTATAAAACATCTTCCTACTATCACATTCTTTTAAAAACATCCACATATTATCACATCCTTATAACTGCATCATTATATATCATATATACTTGTAACAATATCCTGATCTAATCAGATTGATCTGTCCTACATTAAAACTCAAATTCATAATCTAATTTCCTTTTGGGTGCAAATGAATGTAAATTAAGAATGTTCAGCATCATCATCATTGTGTAATTGATTTGTAGACTGTACATATGAGGCTAATTTTAGAAGTGCATTTATTGTAGAATAAAGAATAGTAATGGGAAAGTGTCTTAACATGCAAGTTGTAGTTCAATTTTGGTGACTTAATAAATATCTCTATGGAAGCTTTTTGTGATACCGTTATATTCTGAAGTACGCCTAAATGGCTCTTTACTAACAAAGCCATAACAAAGCTTTCGCATGACTTGGTTAAAAGCTTTTCAGTTTTCTTGCATACGATAATTACCTCTGGTAGCTATGGGAACGTCTTTAAGACAATCTGAATATTCATGAATTGATTTACAGCAGCTTCTGAGCAGTACATGTCTTGTGTATACAGAACAGCTAAAACAGTGATTAGAAAATGAAAAAAGTAGTTGCTATTCAAATTTCCATGTATTTGTACAATTTTATTGGCCTTGGGCACTCACACTCACAAGTTACAAATAGCTGAACCTACGTGTAAAATTTGATCTGGTAAACAGAAAAGCACTTTTCCAAAACACAGAATTAATCATTTAAACACCCATTGATTTGATTTGGACACTTTGACCTTCACCCCAATAATTTGATCTGAACCATCACATTTTAAGCTAGTGTTAATAATATTAACCTTGACTCCATGACATTCAACTATACAATTTCATTTCAAAAGATCAAGGTCATGGTACATGTGTGGTTGACCTTAAAAAATGACCATTTGATAATTCTTTGATAAATATTTCCAAGGTCAAGGCCATCGCTTGATTTAGTGATTTTGACATAAGTTTGTGTTCCTGAAAGTCGTTCAGAACAGATTCTGTATAAGATGTAGTGTTTTACCTTTTACTAGAGTACATGTAAAGGGAGGGGGAGGGGGGCCTTGTTTAAATCAGAAATATTTGAGTTATTACTATAGAAGTCTTAACAGACTTCCTTTTTACAAAAGACTTGTGTACAGTACTAGAATATGGAGAAGAAAGAGAATCTGTACCAGATGTTTACATCTTCTCTGATTGAGCCTTAACCTCTGTGTAATTGATGTTTGTAACTATAAATAAACAGTGGTATGTTAAATTTAAAAAATCCCAGGTTTCTGAAGAAAAAGAGGTTTTATATATGTTTTTTCTTGTTATTACAAACAAAAGAGAATCTGTTTCATCAAAAACACCCCTGAGATGGGACTTATAAATAAAAGCAGAAAGCTTATTCATTGCTCTCCTGAATATGATATGTGCATGTATATGTGTGTATGGCATTCCTACAATGTAAGCTTTCAAAAGTCAATTTTGTTTTACCAGCTCATGAACTGCCAACATCAACATCAAAGTTAATATATCACAAGTTAAGTAATCAAATTGAGGTTACCTCCCCTTATTACAAGATGGGAATTTTAAATGATAAACATTAAACTGCTTTTAGTTGGCAATTTTTGATATCATGAATGCCAACTCCAGAAAGACAAATTAAAATTCAGCTTCACAATGTTGGCATTAATATGCCAATTGATGTAAACTGAAAGTTGTTTAATGCTTGAAGAAGGCAGAGAAATCTGTAACTTGAGCCAATAGATTTATGTTCATAAATATTGTGTATCCCAGATTAAAAACCAGCGTTCATCATTACAAGCTCTTCCATCAGCTTAATGAGGATATTGAAGTTTATTGATCGATACATGTATGTCAATCACATACACTTGGGTTCCCTAGGAATAACTACCTTAATCAATTGTCAATAACTCAACAGGTATTTCAACTGCTTAGGGTGTTAGCTCTACTACATTGTATTTATTTTAATGATTCCCTCCATATAAACTGATAAATCTTCTAGAATTCATTGACTTGACTATTAACATTATAAAACAAACTCTCAATTACTTTATTATTCTTACATCACAGCTATTCCTGATAACTGTTTTCAAAATGATTTTTCTGTGATAACTTTTTCAGTTGTTCAAGTATGCTCATGCAGTAAGACTACAAATATGCATTTTGACCTGTAACAGTAACACACATTTGTGACTTAAACATTCCATGACATAATTTATGGTTAATAACAGATCAAATTATGTCACCAACAAAGGAGAAATGAGATATTTTGCTATATTGTCAATATAACTAAGTTACCTACGGATCTAACATGTAGCATCTGTGAATATAGAGATGTTATATACTGTAAACTTATCAATTTTTGTGGGAAATGTATTTTCATGGATTTTTTAGGTACTTTAAATCAATGAAAATACATGTCTGGGAATTGTTAAAAGAAGTATATATTGCTTTATAGAGCTATATTATATTTTTAGCCCACCATCTATCTAATAGATCGTGGGTTATTCAAATCGCCCTGCGTCCGTGGTCCGTGGTCCGTCCGTCCGTCCGTCCGTAAACAATTCTTGTTACCGCTATTTCTGGAAAAGTACTGGATGGATCTTTCTCATATTTCATATACAGGTTCCCCTTGGTCCCTAGTTGTGCATTGTACCTTTTTTGAACTGATTTGCATTCAAGATGGCCGACAGGTGGCCATCTTGGATTTTGGAAGTAAAAGTTTGTTACCGCTATTTCTGGAAAAGTACTGGATGGATCTTTCTCAAATTTCATATGCAGTTTCCCCTTGGTCCCTAGTTGTGCATTGTACCTTTTTTAGATGGCCGACAGGTGGCCATCTTTTATTTTGGAAGTAAAAGTTTGTTACCGCTATTTCTGAGAAAGTACTGGATGGATCTTCCTCAAATTTCATATGCAGTTTCCCCTTGGTCCCTAGTTGTGCATTGTACCTTTTTTGGACTGATTCGAATTCAAGATGGCAGACAGGCAGCCATCTTGTATTTTGGATGTAAAAGTTTGTTACTGCTATTTCTTGGAAAGTTCTGGATGGATCTTTCTCAAATTTCATATACAGTTTCCCCTTGGTCCCTAGTTGTGCATTGTACCTTTTTTGGACTGATTCGAATTCAAGATGGCAGACAGGTGGCCATCTTGGATTTTGAATGTAAAAGTTTGTTACTGCTATTTCTTGGAAAGTACTGGATGGATCTTTCTCAAATTTCATATGCAGGTTCCCTTTGGTTCCAAGTTGTGCATTATACCTTTTTGGACGGATCCGAAATCAAGATGGCTGACAGGCAGCCATCTTGGATTTTGAGAGTAAAATCTTGTTACTGCTATATCTGAGGAAGTACTGGATGGATCCTTCTGATATTTCATAGATATTGGTTTCCCTTGGTCCCTAGTTGTGCATTGTACCTTTTTTGGACTGATTTGAAATCAAGGTGGCCCACAGGCAGCCATCTTGGATGTCGACAGTAATACAGCACAAGCATATTGTCCATTATCCACCTGTAACTGACTGCTATCTAATAATACTTTGGGATCTTTTTCAAATGATATTTGCTAATAGGTGCTTAATAAAAATATCTTGTGCCATCATTGAGTACATTCAATGAAGACCAGTTCATGAACATTTACAACACCTGTAACAAACAAAAAAAAAATAAACAAATCTTCAAGAACTGAAAACAGATCATCAAATGGTGGGCGCCAAGATCCCTCTGGGATCTCTTGTTTATCCATGAAGTCAATTGCCCATAAAATCTAGTAATTTTTTGAAAAACCACAAAAATTTAACTTCACTTAATATCTGATTCTACAGTATACATATTTTGTTTGATTTTCAGACGTGACCACTATGTCGGACATATTTGTGGCTTTCCCGTCTGTAACGGCAAACAATACTGTGATATTTGGGAAGAACTCGGATCGTCCAGCATCAGAGATACAGGAAGTTGTCTACTTTTCTGGGGCACAACATGACCCTGGCTCCAAGGTCAAGGTTAGTCGTAACAAAAAGGCACTGAGATAGCAAATGCCAATTTTACAGTACCAGGAAAATCGTTTTTCTTTCTAACAAAAAATTGATTCAACAAGTGATGAAAAACACTTTCATTTTGTTATACATTCAAATTTTTGAATTATCAGAAACTACTATCTGATTTAATGCTGCATGATGCATTCCTAAATTTCGTCAATATTATAAGATAGGAAAGTTCTGTAAATGTTATTTTTTGAAGAGACTTTTTCACAAAAGTAATGATTTGAACATTGTGCACCTTATTGTATCTTATCATTACATCATCTCATATTATTTTTATATCAATACTTCAGTCCTCCTGAAAATTCACAGGCAGTATTGCTGTATCATACAAGTATGATGAACACATTTTGATACACAATTTCCAAGAATAAAAACGTTGATGTACATGTCATGTATCATGACCAGGACGCTTTTGTTTGCTGGGCTTATTTTCTTCCATGTAATTCATTTGTTTTCTAAGGAAGTAGGTCTGTTGGTAACCCTGTGTAGTACCATGATTCGACCTTAAGCCTTTCTCTGGTAATAAACCCTTCTCTTTAAGTAATGCTAATGTACCAGCAAATGGTATGAATTCCATTATCTTGTCCCCTTTGCAAGTGTTGTAGGCTTGTATTTCAGGTTAGTAATTTAGGCTAATATTGTAGGTTAGTAATTTAGGCTAATATTGTAGGTTAGTAATTTAGGCTAGTATTGTAGGCTTGTATTTTAGGTTAGTAAATTAGGCTAATATTGTAGGTTAGTAATTTAGGCTAGTAATGTAGGTTAGTAATTTAGGCTAGTAATGTAGGTTAGTAATTTAGGCTAATATTGTAGATATAATTTAGGCTAGTATTGTAGATAGTAATTTAGGCTAGTAATGTAGGTTGGTAATTGTAGGTTAGTAAATTTAGGCTAATATTGTAGGTTAGTAATTTAGGGTTGGTATTGTAGGTTGTAGATTAGTAATTTAGGCTAGTATTGTAGATTAGTAATTTAGGCTAGTAATGTAGGTTAGTAATTAAAGCTAGTAATGTAGGTTAGTAATTTAGGCTAGTAATGTAGGTTAGTAATTTAGGCTAATATTGTAGGTTAGTAATTTAGGCTAGTATTGTAGGCTTGTATTTTAGGTTAGTAAATTAGGCTAGTATTGTAGGTTGGTATTGTAGGTTAGTAATTTAGGCTAGTATTGTAGGTTGGTATTGTAGGTTAGTAATTTAGGCTAGTATTGTAGGCTTGTATTTTAGGTTAGTAAATTAGGCTAATATTGTAGGTTAGTAATTTAGGCTAATATTGTATTGGCTAGTATTGTAGGTTGGTATTGTAGGTTAGTAAATTAGGCTAGTATTGTAGGTTAGTAATTTAGGCTAGTATTGTAGATTAGTAATTTAGGCTAGTAATGTAGGTTAGTAATTTAGGCTAGTAATGTAGGTTAGTAATTTAGGCTAGTAATGTAGGTTAGTAATTTAGGCTAGTAATGTAGGTTAGTAATTTAGGCTAGTAATGTAGGTTAGTAATTTAGGCTAGTAATGTAGGTTAGTAATTTAGGCTAGTAATGTAGGTTAGTAATTTAGGCTAGTAATGTAGGTTAGTAATTTAGGCTAGTAATGTAGGTTAGTAATTTAGGCTAGTAATGTAGGTTAGTAATTTAGGCTAGTAATGTAGGTTAGTAATTTAGGCTAGTAATGTAGGTTAGTAATTTAGGCTAGTAATGTAGGTTAGTAATTTAGGCTAGTAATGTAGGTTAGTAATTTAGGCTAGTAATGTAGGTTAGTAATTTATAATATAGGTTAGTAATTTAGTAATATTGTTTAGTAATTTAGGCTAGTAATGTAGGTTAGTAATTTAGGCTAGTAATGTAGGTTAGTAATTTAGGCTAGTAATGTAGGTTAGTAATTTAGGCTAGTAATGTAGGTTAGTAATTTAGGCTAGTAATGTAGGTTAGTAATTTAGGCTAGTAATGTAGGTTAGTAATTTAGGCTAGTAATGTAGGTTAGTAATTTAGGCTAGTAATGTAGGTTAGTAAGGCTAGTAATTGGGTTAGTAATTTAGGCTAGTAATGTAGGTTAGTAATTTAGGCTAGTAATGTAGGTTAGTAATTTAGGCTAGTAATGTAGGTTAGTAATTTAGGCTAGTAATGTAGGTTAGTAATTTAGGCTAGTAATGTAGGTTAGTAATTTAGGCTAGTAATGTAGGTTAGTAATTTAGGCTAGTATTGTAGGTTAGTAATTTAGGCTAGTAATGTAGGTTAGTAATTTAGGCTAGTAATGTAGGTTAGTAATTTAGGCTAGTAATGTAGGCTAGAGATTTGGGCTAGTATGATAGGCTAGTGATTTTGGCTATTATTTCAGACTAGTATTTTAGGCGAAATATGTATTGTTAATTTAGAACTTTTTGATGAGTTCTATGCTGTTGAAAGCTCCACCTTGCTTTTTGCATCTTGGACAATTTGATATATTATTATGATGATCAGGTATAAATCAATTTCAATATTTATCTCATATGAATATATTCCTACCAAGATATGTCTTTTAGAAAATAAAACTTGCAGTTTGTCCTTGTGGATTATCTGTTGTACATGCAAATGATGCACTCAATTCCACCAGGGCTTACACTATAGATAGTCAAGGATTTACTTTGGTCTGACAAGACAGATAGAGCAATACTTGATTTTACTGGTGATATTGATCATCGAGTCAGACAACAGACTGATGGCTGAATCAAACATGCACACAGCTATTTATTTATCACTATTCTGTAGCTCGTCTGGGCCAGGGATAGTCTTATGTAGGTTGTTTGGTACATATTGAAATCAATTACAATATTGCTATTGGGGGATTTTAGAGTGTTAATATATAGCAGTCACTCTGTGTCAATATAGGTCATGTATGTTAAGGAGATATCCTTCTGTTGCATATATGTATGCATTTCTTTTGCCAAAGAGTTCAGCATATAGAAAGATGTACCACGTAATCTGAATTATCTCAAATTTACACCTGTAATTGTTAATGGTTAATTTTCAAGATGGAATTAGAAAGGTATCATACCTCCTTAAAAGATTTTGGTCATGTCGATTTTGGTTTTCCTTAAATTCTGTGACATCATCTAAATAGCACTACCATCTAGATCGCACCACTCAAATATATCTCGATATCTATTTTCAGGCTGTCGAAATTACTTGGTTACTCATGAGAAATGTAATAAGGTGACCAGCCACATGTTACATGTGACGTCAAAGTGTAACTTCAGCTGACTGTGTCAAATATATAAAACAATATATCCTTGATTGAAAGTGAAATATTCCACTTTAACTAAGCACTATATATCATATACAAAAACTTGAGCAAAAAAGTCTATTTGAATAATAGTATAAGTTGAAAATCTATGATGAAGGATCTTGAGTCAGCGATATTCAATTATACATGAATGTACATCTCTGTTATATGATCGTGATGATAACAGCTGTTACTGTTATTAAATAACTTTGTGATATATAACATGGAAGATGATTCTACAGGTGTTCAACACCTGTGATTAATTACGTACACAAAGGCTAAACAAGATATAATCTTCATTAAGATTCGCTGGAGGGGTTTGTTCGGACATTTCTCACCGTTTCAATTATCATGGAAAAAAATGACCTGTGTATATAGGCTAGGCATGACCTGTGTATATAGGCATGACCTGGGTATATAGGCATGACCTGTGTATATAGGCTAGGCATGACCTGTGTATATAAGCATGACCTGGGTGAATAGGCATGGCCTGTGTATATAGGCATGACCTGGGTATATAGGCATGACCTGTGAATATAGGCATGGTCTGTGTATAAAGGCATGACCTGTGTATATGTAACCCTGGTAAAATACTAGCCGCAATATACTACTCGGCTAGAGAGATCTTCTCTTTAGCTCGATTGGTTGAGCGTCAGACTAGTAAGTCAGGGGTCCTGGGTTCGATTCCTAGTGGAGGCATTGAGATGAAAAATGACTAATGTTACATTGGCGCCCATGTAGGGACCCGGGAATAGTACTTAGCCATGCCCCATCAGCATCGCTGTAACCCCTGGAAACTCGAGGAAGAGTTATTTCCTGGAGGGGGAGTATGTAACCCTAGTAAAATACTAGCCGCAATATACTACTCGGCTAGAGAGAACTTCTCTAAAGCTTGATTGGTTGAGCGTCAGACTAGTAAGCCAGGGGTCCCGGGTTCGATTCCTAGCGGAGGCATTTAGATGAAAAATGACTTCTGTTACATATATAGGCATGACCTGTGAATATAGGCATGACCTGTGTAGTGATGACTTCATTAGGAAAATAGAGTATCGCTGTTGCTGATGTAACACTTTGACGGCATACGTCATACGACCTCATTTCACTTTCAAAATATACATATTCACCAAACTAATCTAAAGGGGACAGGACCAGATTTCGAAGTTGTGTGCCAAGTGAAATGGGATACCCCAGACTACAGACATTATTTCATCTTTTTGGGCTGAAATATGGCATTATGAAAAGTTGTGGCCAAAATCCTTTAATTATATGCAAATAGCCAATGTACTGTGGCTGAAAACATACTGATATTTCCTAAATATAACAAATTACAAACATAAGGTGCTAGAATATATTGTTCAAAGGGAGCTAAATCTTATAAATGGGCCTATTAATGTATAAGGTACTACAACATGTTGCCCTAAGTTGTGATTCATGCAGGAGACAGGTTGGTATAAGGTTGACAGAGAAAACAGGATTGAACATGATTTTCCCTTCATATTTAAATCTGCATATTTGTTTTTAGAAAATGTTATGAAATTTTTCCATGCAAATTTAAAACCTTGTACTAGGCATTGGCCTGAAATTTTAAAAACTGTGGAATTTCAGTGTACCTTTGTGGAGATAGAACAGGTGGAGCAAACCTACAATGTCATCCTCAGTAAACCCACATGGTGTTGGGGGGCAGAGATGGGAGCTAATGACAAAGGGGTGTGTGTAGGCTGTACATCAGTGTGGACCAAGCTTTGTCACCAAGGAGAACATGCAGATAAACTCATAGGTGTTGACTTTGTCAGGTAAGTGAACTGACACATGTAGACTTTGTCAAGTAAGTGAACTCAGAGCTGTAGGTTTTGTCAGGTAAGTGAACTTGGTTATAATTTATTTAAATCAAATTTCCTTGAAGTCAGACTTTCAAAGTTTTGAAATCCACACAAATCCTAAAAGAAATAATATTGTTTATTTAACATACTGACTCACTATTAAATGATTCCTGGAACATTCTCAAGCTAAGGTGAGCTAGATCAACTTATCAAAGTCAAGGAATGACATTTCAGGCTGGATTGAGGTGTTATAGAAAATGAGTCCAAGTGCAAGAAACTGGTCTCCAACACTTGTTGACAGTAGATTGTGTGTTTGGTATATTGCCATATCACTTTTGATTATAGTGTCTCCAAAAAGGGTCAGTTGTCTGAGATAGGAGATAATTAGATGTGACATGATTTTAATTGAAACTTCTCTTTTGACAAAATGTCATATCAGGGTGCCAGACAGATTTGATGAGACAGAAAAATCTAGCAGTTCAGTGGCACAAGTTTGGCATTTCTGTGTATGTTAGTGTCCTATCTAATGTTACTGCTTATTGCTATTACAGACTGGCTCTAGAGAGGGCAAAATCTGCAAGGGAAGGAGTTGATGTCATAACCTCTTTACTGGAAAAACATGACCAAGGTGGTCAGAACACACATGATGTTAACTTTGGCCAGTGGACATACAACAATTCTTTCTTGGTAGTGGATCACTCTGAAGCCTGGGTACTGGACACAGCTGGTCAATTCTGGGCAGCCAAGAAATTCACATGTAAACAACATTCTCAAATTACGCTATGCTGTCACACCTTATGCCTTCATCATTGAAATATTCTTGAATAATCTTATTTTATCTACTTCTTTCACTGATGTAAATTTATTTGAAATTTCTAGGAAATGAAAAAGCTATACCACATCAGTGGTGTCTTTTTCAGTTTAGATCAGTTTTAGGTATGATTTCCTTATAATAGAAATATTTATCTGTTAAGTAAGTATTAAATAGAAGTAAAAAAGGCCATGATTTGTTTCAATTCCTCCACTTGGAATTGAACCTGGGACCTCTGGTTTACTAGACTTGCTGGACAGATTGAGTTAGAGAGCTCCAGTCAATGTTGTGGCTAGTGTTTATAAGGGTTACATACATAGGTACATTGTATCAAGAAATACATTATTTGATTATGACTTGAGATACATTTTATACCACAAGTCTGTATAAGATGTTATACACACAGCATTTTTACCTTGTAGCTGGCGTCCTCAATATCTCTAGTGCATTGTCCATTACTACTGAGATGGACTTATCATCTGCCGGGCTTACAGAGGCGGCTATTTCTGCAGGATATTGGAAGGCTGACCAGGGTAACTTAAATTTTGCTCAGGCATTTGATGCAGAGTTCTCTGGATTATCATTGGCTGAGACCCAGTTGCCAAACAACCGAGTAAAAAGAGGCAAGGAACTTATGGAGAAAATAGTGGATAAGGGTATGTGTTTGACATCTTAAGTATAAGTTGATAAGTTTCCATATGGTATATCTATGCTGATGGAGACACAAATATGTCGGTCTCGCTTCATTTTTTATACTTTTCAAAAATTATGTACAAATAAAATCAATTAAAAAGAACAATAACAAATGTTATCACTTACACTTCTACTAAAGCCTATCTTCAATACTCTAGGTATTAATTAAGTATACTATTGCTCTCTGCTCCCTTGGAAAATTGTCCTGGCAGAATTGACGGCAGAAGAGAAGTAATTTGACTGGTCTAAAGCAGGTTTCAGGAGAAAATACTGACCAATCACAGACTGACATTCTCAAGGGAGTGACACCCAACATCAAAGGCAGTACAACATACCATTATTTGACCTAGAGGTTCATTTGATGTACATCAAAGCATCAAACCTGTCCTCTTGTCTTATCCACATGGTGTCGCACAAAGGATCAAACCTGTCCTCTTGTCTTATCCACATGGTGTCGCACAAAGGATCAAACCTGTCCTCTTGTCTTATCCACATGGTGTCGCACAAAGGATCAAACCTGTCCTCTTGTCTTATCCACATGGTGTCGCACAAAGGATCAAACCTGTCCTCTTGTCTTATCCACATGGTGTCGCACAAAGGATCAAACCTGTCCTCTTGTCTTATCCACATGGTGTCGCACAAAGGATCAAACCTGTCCTCTTGTCTTATCCACATGGTGTCGCACAAAGGATCAAACCTGTCCTCTTGTCTTATCCACATGGTGTCGCACAAAGGATCAAACCTGTCCTCTTGTCTTATCCACATGGTGTCGCACAAAGGATCAAACCTGTCCTCTTGTCTTATCCACATGGTGTCGCACAAAGGATCAAACCTGTCCTCTTGTCTTATCCACATGGTGTCGCACAAAGGATCAAACCTGTCCTCTTGTCTTATCCACATGGTGTCGCACAAAGGATCAAACCTGTCCTCTTGTCTTCTCAAACCTGTCCTCTTGTCTTCTCCACATGGTGTCGCACAAAGGATCAAACCTGTCCTCTTGTCTTATCCACATGGTGTCGCACAAAGGATCAAACCTGTCCTCTTGTCTTATCCACATGGTGTCGCACAAAGGATCAAACCTGTCCTCTTGTCTTATCCACATGGTGTCGCACAAAGGATCAAACCTGTCCTCTTGTCTTATCCACATGGTGTCGCACAAAGGATCAAACCTGTCCTCTTGTCTTATCCACATGGTGCCGCACAAAGGATCAAACCTGTCCTCTTGTCTTATCCACATGGTGTCGCACAAAGGATCAAACCTGTCCTCTTGTCTTATCCACATGGTGTCGCACAAAGGATCAAACCTGTCCTCTTGTCTTATCCACATGGTGTCGCACAAAGGATCAAACCTGTCCTCTTGTCTTATCCACATGGTGTCGCACAAAGGATCAAACCTGTCCTCTTGTCTTATCCACATGGTGTCGCACAAAGGATCAAACCTGTCCTCTTGTCTTATCCACATGGTGTCGCACAAAGGATCAAACCTGTCCTCTTGTCTTATCCACATGGTGTCGCACAAAGGATCAAACCTGTCCTCTTGTCTTATCCACATGGTGTCGCACAAAGGATCAAACCTGTCCTCTTGTCTTATCCACATGGTGTCGCACAAAGGATCAAACCTGTCCTCTTGTCTTATCCACATGGTGTCGCACAAAGGATCAAACCTGTCCTCTTGTCTTATCCACATGGTGTCGCACAAAGGATCAAACCTGTCCTCTTGTCTTATCCACATGGTGTCGCACAAAGGATCAAACCTGTCCTCTTGTCTTATCCACATGGTGTCGCACAAAGGATCAAACCTGTCCTCTTGTCTTATCCACATGGTGTCGCACAAAGGATCAAACCTGTCCTCTTGTCTTATCCACATGGTGTCGCACAAAGGATCAAACCTGTCCTCTTGTCTTATCCACATGGTGTCGCACAAAGGATCAAACCTGTCCTCTTGTCTTATCCACATGGTGTCGCACAAAGGATCAAACCTGTCCTCTTGTCTTATCCACATGGTGTCGCACAAAGGATCAAACCTGTCCTCTTGTCTTATCCACATGGTGTCGCACAAAGGATCAAACCTGTCCTCTTGTCTTATCCACATGGTGTCGCACAAAGGATCAAACCTGTCCTCTTGTCTTATCCACATGGTGTCGCACAAAGGATCAAACCTGTCCTCTTGTCTTATCCACATGGTGTCGCACAAAGGATCAAACCTGTCCTCTTGTCTTATCCACATGGTGTCGCACAAAGGATCAAACCTGCACAACCATGAAATGTTCCAGGGCTGCAGAGAGTGATAGAGAAATTATATAACCCCAAGTGTATCGCAGATGGACTTCAGTAGAAGTTGTAAGTCTTATTTTTCATTTTAATTGTTTTATTTGTAAATAATTTTGATAAATGGCTGCCAAGTAATGGAAAACTATATATCATATATAACTATGTATTATGTTTTACAGAAGTGAGTTTTTATATTGTAGGCAAGTTTTTGCTGGAAAATATGATGGAAATTCTTAGGGACGAAGACGGCAGCATCAATTTCGCTGGTGACATTTTAACAGTAGGAAGCCAAGTTTCGATGTTGACTGAACCAGCATCGCCATCACCTGACAGCCATTGGTTCACATGCACACCCAACACATCCGTTTCAGTCTTTAAGCCATTTATCTTCTGCCCGGACATTGACATCGGCAATATTACAGTTGCATCCTCTGTTGACAAACATCATAAACTGTATGATGCTCATGAAAAGAAGCGAACAATTATGGAGGAAAAATGTCCATCTGGTGAGAAACTGCGTGGGATTATGATGGCCTTGGAGCGGCAGTGTTTGAATGACATACAGGATTACCTGCAGAATTTTCCAAAAGATTTAGTTAATGAGTCACGTGACCTTTTCAAGGATGTTGCTGAATCAGAGGTCAAGTTTTACCGATAAACAAACCATAAAAAACAAGCAAATTTGTGAAATTACGTTTGTGCTTTATATCTAATCGATATCAGATTCCAAAGGGAAACAGATTTGATTTGAGATATTTTCTGGAGATTTTGAAAATTCTTTTTGCTTAATATATAGAACATCAGCATGCCACTATTATAAGTACATTATATATGCACATATAAATGAGTGGGCTTTAAGTGTTCCATCATAATTTTTATCTTCTGAAGACTCGCGGTCACATGAATATATTTCCATGAAACCAGCTATACTCCAATTCCAAAACTGTCAGTTATGTCTTCAAAATTTGTTGGTCACTTCTGACCATTACTGTAGTGTCTGTTATCAATTGTAGTTATGTATTCAGGATGTGACAATCATCAGTTAATCAATTATATCAAAACACTTTATTAATAAGCATAATATATCAATATCCATGATATCAAAAGCTGGTTATTTTGAATATCTGGACAATTCCAAATATATTTTGACATTTGGTTGTGTTTGACTTCAGCAGGTTATATTATAAGGGTGCAGAAACATTCCACTTTCTTGAATTCATGCCTAGTTTTAGTTGTTAGTCTAGACTATTAAATATGTAGGTTTCTTTGGGAACATTTGGCTTGTACTATTTATCTGCTGTTGGAATTTAATAGGTCTCCCACCAGTACTGCTGGAGAGGAGTATTTAGATAATTAGTAAACTATTATCCGTCCTTCACAATCTCTATATCGTAATCAAGTTTGTTACATTTAATGTACATATTTGGATATTTAAGTGTTTTACACCAAAAAAGGGTCACATTAACCTTAATTATATAAATATTGCTTCCAGAGGTATTAAGCCCCTACTGAACATTTCCTCGCCACCAGAATTTACAAATAGCTTTACTAGGAAATACATACTATGTAGATGATATTTGTTCAAACTGTTTTGTCTGGGATCACCAAGTACCTTTATAAGATCAAATGTTGTATACTGAAACTAAATCTATAAGATTATTACACAATTATTAATTCACTGGCGTCATCGCCCTTACTGAAGCATAACTTCTGCAAGGAGCACCAAACTTTGCACAGGGAATGTAAAAAGTAGGTCACTGTGACCATTATATGACTTCCTATGTTTCTTGTAGGTCACAATGGCATTTAAAAGATAATTTGTGATTCTTGTAGATCACTGTGACTATTACATGACTTTTGACCATACTAGGTCACTGTGACCTCAATATGGCACTGACTATATATGACCTTTAACCGTTTGTATATTACTGTGACCTTCATAAAACCATCGACCATTCTAGGATATTCCTATGATTATTTTATAACCCATGACTTTCTTGTAGGTCACCGTTCTATCTATATGACCCATGACTTTCTTGTAGGTCACCATTATATCTATATGACCTTTGACCATTCTTGTTAAGTCACTGGAACTTTTACAAGACCACATCATGAATAATAGATCTGGTCTTGCGCTCCAAAGATCTGCTGCATGTATAGTTAGTACTGTTGGCTTTAGTACATGTAACTGAATCATCAGGTGGAGGACTGTATAGATGATATATAATAACAATTCATTTGTTACACTTAGTTTGATTTTCTTGACACTGCTTAAAATTAGTGTGTCTTTTAATAATCTGTAAGAACTTTTATTTAACATGAAACCTGATCAACTTTCAGATCTAGAATTGTGAATAGTTTTATGTTTTTACGAAATAATGAATACATTTTATTTTCAAGTAATTTCAAAGCAAATTACATCTATTCTTACCATATACATGTACCACAAGCTTATTTATCAAAAACTTGTCTTTTTAATTAAAGTATTAGTGATGATCAACATAATACCATATTATGGCTTTGCTTCATCACCTGCAAATTTCGCCATTTCATGTCAAACTTAAAACCAGAATGTCTAATTTTAGTCACATTTTTTCTGTATTGAAAAGCAGAAGCTATATCTCTAAATGTAACTCTTTACTTACTTGTAATAAACAAATAAGTATTTGCCACAGTCTTATAGAGAAAAGAGTTAAATAGGAAGGGACAAAACTCTTGCAGAGGGCCAGTGTAGTATACAGCATGGACTGCGAATATTGAGTAAACAAGGAAATGCATTGAACTACACAACACCACCATTATATTAGACAGTGATGAAGTTTATAGTATGCTGTAATTCTCGTGATATTTTATGATGTTCAACTTGATATACGCCCAGAATATCATACTTTTTGCAGAATCCTTTACAGAATGGCAAAACCTGGCAAAACTTTCATAGTGAAAGTTTTTGTCAATTTCATTGGTAAACTGCAGAGTAAAGAGTGTTCAGGCCAGAAAATCCAAAGGGGATGGCTTAAAAGTTTGGATATTTTTGGTTGGTATTTTGAGAGTATTTTACTGACTTAAGAACTCATGTTATTTGTTGAATGTATATTTAAATATTTAGTCCAGCTTTCTTTGCATAGGTTGTAACTATTATGTATTGTATATTTACCTGTATGGATTGGTAAACTTGGAATCACCCTCTGCTTTGAAAGTTCTAAAATTAGGTGTTGTATTTTGCATATACATCCATCAAATTTGTGATATACCATTATAATGAAGCGAATTTTTGCTCATATTTGATTGAAGATGTAGGATGCATATTTACAAAAATATATATTAAGTTATAATAATGGAAATGTGATATGCATAATGCTTATGTTGGATGTCTTTTGACCTGTGTAGAAATACAGCTAACAAATCTGATTCTGTGTTGATTATTTTTATTTACATTGTACCTCGTGTTGAGTGGGGAGGAGTGTTACTTTAAAAGCTGTTATCGAGGAGTTGAACTTTTCGCTATTGTTAAAGTCAAAAGTAAAACTATGAAAACTTGATAAATTAAAAATGAAGTTAATAAATACTGTGGATTCATTTATTTTCGTTGGGTTCAATTTTCGTTGTTTCTACAAATTAGACAGTTTCGTGGACTCATAAATTCGTGGATTTTTGATTCTGTGGGAAAAAAATAAAAACGTTAGAATTTTCTCTTTTTGCTTCCATCTGTTTGTATTAAGGCTATGTTCACAGGAATTAACACTAATGACAAGAATAAAAGAACGGTTTTTTTTCAAGATGGCGTCCTGTGTTTTTATAATGTTTATTCGCATTAATATCAAACCACAAATCAGTATATATCCTGGCGTGTAATCAATCGGTAATTATCAGAAACAATTGTTTTCAGTGGATAAAAACCCCGCAGTCATATGAAAACACCACGAAACCATGTGTGTAAACAGGTGTGTAAACAAGATCTGCATTATTAATAATTATTGTGAACCTGTAGTCGGATGACTCTCTTCAATCGGGATGGTCCGTCAAGCCTAGTGTCCACAGTGTCGCTAACGACTGGATGCATCACAATGGGTATATTTGTTATGTTTAATAATATATAATTATATATCGTTGACACCAATTTAGTCCATGTGCTAATTACGGAGCTTCTGACCGGTGGACGTTTCCGGTGTCGGCAAAGATTACTTGGTCAAATTTAAAAATTACTTTAGAAGGTATATTTCGTTGTGTTTTTAATATTTGCTCATCCACGAAAACAACGTATCACATTCCAGTTCAGTATATATCTCTTTTACATCAAGTCTTTATGGGAAATATTGCAAATCTGAACAAACCATGAAAAAAACCCAGTGTATAAGAAATGCTGCTGTCTATTGACTCTGGATGGGTCTGAAAAAGGATGGATATTATACAAGTCCATGTGCTAGTAAGCTTGATATAAGATGCTATCAAGTCACAGTAAGCTTGTGGCTATCAAATACCCCCTGTCACTAACTACCATTTTCAATGTTGACTTCTGTGGCAACCAAATTACAACCAAGACCTTGGTAATAGCACCAATTCCTCAAAACTATACATCAATTTTCAGCTTAATCAGACAATATTTCAATTTTAGACCAATAAGAATCCTTCAGAAGGCCTTCCAAAACACTTAAAATACTTAAAGGTGGATGTAGTCAAGTAAATGTAGGCTTTCATTACCTAGTATTACAAGATGTACAGAGATAACATCCCCAGGTCTTCCTTCATGGTGGGGAGTAATCTTTATTCACTTTGCAACATAAACATAAATAATTTTACAACAGTTTTGAATGAAGTATCATCGATTTAAATTCAACATTTTTATTTGTCTGGAAATTAGCAGCAACAGCAGATACAGAACATAGCAATGGTATAGCAGAAGAATAACACAAACACAGAAACTGTAGTCTTTGTGGAGTTTAATTCTCTGTATCGTCCTACTACAACTCGGCAGGAAATTGTTCTACAATTACATAGGTACTGGTGGTGATAATGGAAGAGCACACAAAACAGGTCACAGCAACCTAATTATTTAAAGTCGCAGTGACCTGCTTACATTAAGTTTGTGACCAAGTTTAGCCATAATAATGCATTAGTAGTTTCAAAACTGTAGTAACTCACTCTAAACATTGAGCTAAAGAGAAGTAGCTTCAATTTATAGCAAGTTCCAATAACTTGGTCAAGCAAAGTAGGTGATCCAATAGTGTCACTGTGACCTAGTTGCAAGTTACTGTGACCTACATTTCATTATAATAAGTAATAATAACTTAGTTTGACGATGTCATGGTGATCTATTTTTGGTCATTGTAATGCAGCACTCTTGATTGTCATGTGACTTCACACAGGTCACAAAGTCTTAATTGTGATGATGATGCTAAAACAATTCATGATAACTATGTGAGTTACCTAGACAGGATGTTTGGAACAATTTTTGATTCATTATGTATCCTAAAGATTGTTCCAGTTGGCATTTTATTGGTGGATGACAACAAATGATATACATGACTTTTAAATACAAGGTAGATCTGTCATACAAACCCTACTGTATTTTTGGTAAACATTTCAAAAGGTTTGAATGAACTATTGGACACAATATTTGCTAGCATTTCTTGAAAATTTGCCTCCTTACAGTAGTCACAATGTATGTAGTGATTTTTTTTTACAATATGAACAACCATCTATTGTAAGGAGGCTATTTCTGTAAGGAGTTGTTTCTAGATTTCAAAGGATGAACAATACACACGGGTGTTAAATGTACTTTTATACAACTATTTTTCAAATACTCTGTAGTGTCATCAATGATTTGTGCATTCTTACAGCATTCTTCACACAGAAATATCAATGAAATTTAGATTAAAAAGGAATATAAGACAATCTGATTGGTCAAATTGTTCAACTTATTATAATTACTTTTTTTGTAACAGACAGTACACTGATCAAGACTTGATTTTCAAATTTCACCCACATTTTGATGGTTTTAATTTCACCTTAAAAAGATGCTGCTTGATGTATTTAGGTAGTTACAAAATGATATACGTGACCTTGAAATCAGCCGGATTGCGAAATGGAAATAAATGGTGAAGGAAATTGATTTCACACTTACAACAGAAAAATCCAGCTCTCTGATATGGCACCACCTGTATATATTTTAACAAACCTTTCACATAACTCTCAAAAATATGTATCAAACAACATTTTTGTTTTTTTTTGCTCTTTTTTGAGTACAAAATTGAAATGATTTAATAAAAAAAAACATTAGAACCATTTCATTTACAGTGTATAAGCCTATCTCACTGTTTTTTCTTTTTTAGGTTTTCCAACCAACTTTACAGTCTGACTGTTTAAGTAAAATGTTCGACTATATGAAATGAGATTCTAAATATCTATATTATATATTATGTGCTTTTAATACAAATCTTCACAAAATGGTTTAACTTAGACAAGAGAGAGTAATGACAACATATTTTCTCCATAAATTATACATATTTTTATATCTATTACGGTAAATAAAGCTACATTCAAAATTAGGAAATGGACAATAAAAATTTCAATAATTTTTTTTTTATCTCAGTCACACTAAATACACAATCATTAAGATCAAAATCTAGGTTTTCAACAAACTTACACTAAATGTCAAAAACAATAAACATGTATACAAAATAATCAATATACATTGTTTACTTCATTAAAATCATTGAATTAATATGATATCAATAATGAATTTACTGATACGAGATATAATACTGCAAAATAAAAGATAAAACTTTTCTCCTCTCTAAACAAATCATCACAAAATCAACACACGATATAGTTGATGAGTATTGCACAAACTGGGTTTGACCTTTTGGAAAGATCTTACACATAAAAAACCAATAATAACAGGTGTGGGGACTTAATGCGTAGAAATGAAGCATGGCGAACATCATATTTATACATGTATATACAATGTGTATGTTTTTAGAGACAAGAAAAAGTCAAACAGCTACAACCGGTAGCCCATCTCCAAATGGTAACAATGACGTATTTACAAACTCTGTCTGGGAAAAGCTTGCTGATTCAGAGATTATTTTCAGCATCAATATGCCATTGTTTTCATCAAAATGGAAAACAATTTCAGATTTCACAACCAAGATGGGATATGATTGAGAAGATATTATGAATATCTTATTTTTAATCTCAAAATTATTTCCATCTACACAGGACAATTTTAATGTTAAATCTACAGTCAAGCCTGCCCTAGCGACCAGTATATAGTGACCCCCTGTCTATAACTATATAATTGAAAATGGCTGTACATGTATAAAAAACTTTCTATTTTACGGTAAACTCTGAAATTGCAGATGGCAGACCCTGCTAGTGGACTTTTAGTCCCTGAGGTTTGCCGTAAACTGCATGCCACATTTTATATAATTAGAACAGTGGTACTGATCAGAGTATCCACAAGTACTGTAGGTTCTAAATTAATCTGATGTCAGAAAGTAATGAAATTGATTGAATTAGAGAGCTAGAGCAACTCTCCCATCCTCTCATCTAGATTTTAAATTTTTTACGATAATTTTAGTTTTCCTCTAAGTCTTCAAAATGTATACCCTTAGCATCGTTGACAGGTACTATGAGGACAAAACAGCTGTACAATGCACTTAATTATCTAGCTCTACTGTATCATATTCTAAACTTGTATTGAAACTTGTGTTCATTTTTGTGTCTTTTGCAGTTTAAGTGTATAATTTTTATTTATTATTTTGAAAAATACATTTTATATCACAATATAAATCCATAGGAGAAATGATGTCCTGACTATAATATACAGTCTATGATGTACAATTTCTGTACACCTGTTTATGGTAGGATTGCGAGTGGTGATAAATGGGTATTTGGCAGTGAGGAATATGTCCTAATCTGATCACAAACCAAACTCACACAAAAACTGTAATTAGAGTATATCTCAATCCCTTTGTCAACCTTACAGTGTATATCACATTGACTTCGTAAGTCTATGAAAAACTTTAGCAGGTTTAAATAAATTTGTCAGAATTTTAGTGATAATTTTTAACCTATAAATGTCTAATAGCATAAAGTCCTTGATAAAGATTTTCACGTGTGAGCAGGTATTCCATATATATTGTAACTGTTTAAATGGAGTAGTATACATCTCTGTTCTCAATATCAATCTGTTTTATACAGGAGATTTTTAACAAAAAGTAAGCATATGTAGATTAAAGTCATGGCAAGTAAAACTCCTACGTTGGCTTACAAACAATTGCACAAAAAAACCTTTCATTTAAATACTGTACTACCTTTCAAACACAGATTTCCATAAAAAGCAGCAAAAAAAAATAATAATCACTGAAAAGAATTTAAACAATTTTAAGACCTCAGATTGACGTGAAGCCAGTAGTGAAGTATTTGTCAAACACTTTAATAATGTGCTGTCAATAGTTTTTATTTTAAGAATAATTCAACAAAAGACTTAAAAGAATATTCTCATTATTTACTAACAGTCAGAAACATTTGACATATAGAATGTTGTTGATAGTTATTTGTGAATTGAAAAACTATTTCTTAGCAGACTTTAACTAAGTTTCACAAATCACTACGACAGATTTTAACATTATCAAAATGAAATAAAGATGTCATTTAAATTTTGAAAATACTTTAAAGAACATCAAAACAAATTTGTGTATAATTAATAAATGTAAATAGTTCTGTAAGAGCACAGAAAAAAATGTAAACAAACTATTTTAGCAGATCCATTAGTCAAGCACGTACATACACATATTATACAGCACCGGCAACAACACATTGTAAGAGTTGTCCTCCCTTGTTGTAAAATTTACCTACGTAACATTATGCTACTGTGGGGTCCATAGGCAAAGCCTCTAGTGCACTATCCAGGGCACTATGTCTCCTACTGTCGGTGTCAGAATCATTCTGGTCAAACAACAACTGGATCTCCTTCTGAGGCCCCATAAGACTGTTAGGTCTTTGTGCTACATTTAAACAATTTCTATTTTTAGGTTTTGATTTGGCAAGAATTGCCTGGGGTATTGACTCCAGACTACAGTCTATGCATGGTGCACTGCCAAACTGCACTTGGTCCTGTTTACCTAAAGGACAGGGATCTGGGAACGAGTCAGAAGGAGGTGGTATTCCCGGGGGTAATGAATCTGCTTTAGCTAGAAAACCGTATCGAGGCTGTTTGATGTTTGTTGGAACTGGGCTTCTTTCAAAAGTACCAGCATCTATTCTTGGCAACTCCTGTAAAAGTCTATGTAAATCTTCATTTTCTATACCTGTTTCCTGTAACTTTTTGGCAGGTACCAATTTGATTTGGTTTGGCCCTGTGCGGATCACAGCACTATATGATGGAGGTGAGGCAGACCCAGATCTCGACTGCGTATGTGACATCCCATCAATGCTGTTTCCTTCTGCAGGGTCATGTTCACTGCCATAACCTGAACTTTTCTCATAGCCACAACGAGAGTTGGTGGTGCCGTTGTTTGAGCTACACTCGCCTGTCTGACTACCCATTGGAGTATCATTGTTGTCTCGATCCAGTGATTTCTGTGCATAGTTGAATATGTTCCGTATGTGCAGAGGACTCATTGGTGGTGGAATATTGATGTGAGGGGGTGGGGACTCGCCTGTGCAGAAATCAGGACTTTCATTGTCCCATTCATTGCGTCGGAGTATATACTTTGTCCACTGGCTGCTGAGCAGGGGGCGGTAAGTGTCGCGAGTGCTCCCACTTGTGATAGATTGTGGGGACTGTGGTGTGTGACAGTTGTTGAAGTAATGTCGGTCCCGATCTTCAGTGGAACTACTACGAACATCTTCTGAAGTAGAAGGTGACACTTGCATTGGCAGTTCATCAGGAGAAGGTGAAAGGTCAATTGTGTGTCGATCTATCTGCTGGATCAGTTCATCCAAATTTTTCATGCGTATGACCTTTGACTTTGGTGGAGATGATAGATTGGATTTCCACAGCATAGGTGGACGTTGTGCTTGATTTTGATGTATTGGGAAATCGTAACCACCAACTCCCATCATCATTTTCCTCGGTGATGAATGTACATGTCCAGGGTTCCCAGAGTTTCCAGAATTGAAATGCGGCATTGGCAGTACAAAGTCAAAACTTGAGGATTCTGCGATTTGATCGAGGGCTTCCTCCATAGAGTTCCCTGTATCAAACTTTCGGCTGAGAATTTCCTGTATTTCCTCTGCTTCATCATCATCATCCTCATCGTACATGTAACGCTCCATACTCTCTCGATCACAGGTGACATCGGAGCCACCAGTGTTTGATTCACTGCTGCGACGCTCGTCAGCCTTCCCACAATGCTTCAGAATTCCACGCTCGGGTTTGACAGCATCATTGGAAATAATGATTGGAGGTGGTGGGAGCTCACCAATGTCACTTTCTTCCTCACTAGTCAACCGTCCTTTCTTCTTTTTCTTACCCCACATCTTATCAGACCTGAAACATGTCACACCAATATGTTAGTTTTTCTTCACATTGGCTTTAGTAAAAAACAATATTTTATTGTGAAGACTAAATATGTCAGTACAATAGGAATGACCCCACTGGCAACCAAGGAGAAGTTTGGGGGATTTTAGTTATTTACATATTGGTTTTATTGGCTTGGTCTTAGAAATCAGATTGAAGTCCTTCCTGCAGAATCATTGATGAAGAATCTAAGATAAAATTTTGTCCTGCATACAGATTTTTTTACTTTTTTTGAAGGAGTTAGTCAAAGGCTTTTCCAATATTGAAGGTAAAATCTTCATGTAAATTCCTAAAGTTAAATGGCCCTTATTCTAAAATGAATTAACAGACCATAACCAAATCAGAAACATACCTCCATAACATTATCATACAACTTCATACCAAATTATAGTGGACAGGAAATATCAAAGGGATAGTGAACAAGGGTAACAAGACTACAATGTATATGCTCTAGATTATGAAACAATGGAGACACAAAAAAAAAAAAGAAAAAATTGAAGTAGTGTCTGAGGTTCATATCTAAGAAAGTTGATTGTTCACATTTGACACTATTGGATCATTTGAACTGAAAATGTCTAGTTCATGAAAACTTTCTCACTAGGTTGAGGAGGCATTACTGACCAAAATAATTATGACAGTCACCAACAGAACAAATATTTTGAAAACATGAAAACTCCTTGCTCTGGAAACCCTTGCTAGGAAAACTGGTGTCTGACAGAATGCACACCTTCTGAGTTACAAAAAAATATTTTTCAACACAAGATGATTTGTGTACACTCACTTGTAAGAAGGTAGATTTCCAAACGTAATCAGCTTGTTTCCAGCCTCTATACATTTATCCTTTTCACCTTTCTTGCCAAAAAATCCTTTCTTTTTGTGGAATAATTTCACTGGGTTTCTCCTCCTGTGTGAGAAATAAGGAAATATTGAAACATTTACATACTACCTTTATTGCAGATCCCACTTTGAAACTTGACATTTCTGATATCAGGGCGAAATGAACATTTGATCATATACAACAGGTGGAAAAAACAATTCTTAGGGCTATTTACTGATACCACATATTACAGCATGTCCTTCAATTATAGTGTCAACAGAAACAAAGCTATATCATATTTCATGCAGAATGTATGAAATGAAAAATGCCACTGGCTTGATGTAGAAATCAAGCAAAATAGAGCAAACACCATACCAGAGGTAAAATATGAAAAATCATGAAGACAGTATTTCCGATTTGAAACAATATATACAGCGAGACATAACATAACCAACACCTAACATTAAGGGCTTTCAGAAACTCACATTAAAACTTAACAGGCACAAGGCTATAAAGACATCCTATCAACATACATAACCAAAGAAGCCTATCAAAACCAGCTTCTCTCATGAGTTCAAATGTTATAATTGAATCAAATGCATGCAAAAAATAACCTTAATAACTAGAAAACATCTATAATACATGTAGGTAACTGCTTCCACAACATTGCAAACAAGAGTCATCTGATACCGTGTAAAATTCAATGTTATATACTACAGGGCTAGGAATCAAATCTGTTTGGAGGTTTTCAATATTACGACATTGACTTGAAACACACAGGACAGGATGGAGGGAAAGACTGACCTACCTGGATATGGGTGAAACAATATTACCCCCCTCATCTCTCCCCCACGTAAAATGCTGAAAATGTCTATGTAGTATATAGTAATTCACCTGTAGCAGACAAATGTCATGGTTAGAAGAAAAACTAGACCTCCGACCACAGAGGCTAGAATGATGATGAGCCATACTGAAGAGAAGCCATTGTCCTCCGGAACAAGAGCGGCCACAGAGCTCTCGGTGTTGATAGTTGTGGCCTCATGTATCTCTATAGGAATCACAAGGATTTCCGGAGTTGTTGTGGGGGTCGTCGGCATGGGTGTGGTAGCCATGATTCCAGTTGTCACAGTAATGTTGACCTTCACAGAACAGTCAAGGTCATCCCATCCTTCATCACAGAAACATGAGTTGTCCTTCGTACAAACCTTCATTCAAAGCAAATTCATACATATTTGTCAGTTTTTGATTTTTGCATTTCCCTCAGCACAAGACATCCACAAAATCTGAAGTGTTATAAGAATTGTAAATGTAAAATTGAATTCATGAGTGTGAGCAGATTCAGGTCAATCTATTTGTAACAGAACAACCTACGCTCACAAAAACTGCCTTACATGTGGTACCTTCTAGTCCACACTGGTTTTAACTCTCCTCACAAATACTGTGTAAATCCACACATGAATTATCACTGTTCAATCAGTCTGTTAAAGAGCACCTGACAAATATATGACAGATGGCACACCATGATAATATCATTAAACCTGTCTCAATATTTAGTTAACACAGGTAAAATATTGTCCTCATTAATATTTCTATATAAAGTAACAGGCCCCTTGGGGTCTTTCTGACCCTTCACAGCCAGTACTGTAAGATACACTGACATGGTGCATTACCTGGGGTAGGGAAGTGACAAAACTTGTAGGGCTACTTTAAACACAGGACAATTAATTATAACAACTGTCATTAGAGATTACAACCTGATTTATTTAATTCCATAATTTGTCTGACTCATTTTAAATGACTAGAAATATTATAATATTGATTTTGATATTTTTTCTCTTCTTTTTATCTAATAATTATCAATAGAAAACAATTAAAGTTGACTTCAAAGATTTTGTTCTTCATGTTTATTTCTTTTATCTCATTTTTTCAAAATTCTTTGACAAAGTCAATTGAAATTCAGTTGACCTGCAGCTTTTCACTTTAGAATGGTGTTGTAAATTAAATCAGAGGAATCTGTGCATTATTCATCTTTCACTTTATTCTTAGACTTATTCAATAAAAAGAGATATTGACATAAAATGATTTCATATGTTGTTCAGAAGTGTAGATTGTCAATTTTGACAGGTTTGAGGATAGAATAACATTGTAAAATATCAATACTTTAAAAATTGAATAAAGAGGAGGGGGAATTTGAAAATGGCACAAAATATGTTCCTTTTCATCAAACTTTAGGAAAAACTGTGAAAATATGAACCATAAAAGCAAGAAGACATAAAAAAAAACTCTACAATATCTCATCTGATATCTCAATAAAAACAAAATTCTATAACTTTTTGTTGTCATATATTAACAGAATAATTCTCTTAATGATATATATATCTGAAAATATCACATATCACTTAAATCTCTTTAAGTGATGTTTGACTACTGGGATATAGGAAATTGCCTGATAAACTAAGTGAAACACACTGGTACAACACTTTTTTTATAGATTTTAAAAATAATTTAAAATCAGACTTACCCCGTGACCAGAACAGATTATATCACCCCCTGTACCAGGACATGACAGGGGAGGTAACACACTTGTGGAGACACACTGCTTGTTCATACATATGCCACCATTGCCACATTTAGTGCCATCCTGAACAAGACCAAAGTGTGGCAAGCCAATCACAGCTGGGCCGTGGATCACCCTGGCAACACAAGAATTTATTGTCAAACTATTTCTGATAATTTCAGAATACAGGCAGTTCTTCTGAAATAAACATCCCTTGGGGCCTAAACTTTAAACAAATGTTTTACAATTTAAGTACAGATTTTTAAGTACAGATTTTTAAGTACAGATTTTTAAATACAGAAGAACCGACCAGTTAATTTTAAAATTTCCCGACATTTTTTAAGGTATAAGCATGGGTATGGACAGGATTTATTTATTTCTTGAGATTTCATTTACATACTTACTTGCAGTCATACTCTATGTCATCGAATCTGAAGGTGGTTTTGGAGAAACTTCTGTCTGAGCCGAGGAGGGGGACTGTGGTGCCTCCCTGGCAGTGTAACAACCCACATTGTATGTTCCTGTTAATATAAAATAGATGTTTGATCTGAAAGTTTCAATAATTTAGGCCATTAACAACACAGAGGAGACCCTGAAGGACGAAATAGTTGTATAATGCAATCTTATTCATTATTTGGTTCCATTGAATCTAATTCTAAATTTGTATGGAAATGTTCTATTCACTTGTGTGTCTTTGTACAATCTTTATTCTGTCAACAATAAGATAAATCCATTATAAACACACTAATTTAGTACTAAACAGGTATTCTTAATGTATAAGCTGTCAGACTTCAGTTTCAGTTTTAAATTTTTTTTAAAAAAAGTCTTCGGCGCAGAATAAGTATATTCTCTTGATTTAAGGGGAGACATGAAATTTCAGAGTAATATATTTTTTTAATCATTTTGCTTTCACTGGATTGTTTTTTTTTCAAACAGATTTTGTAAGCGAAAAACTCAAACATTATTAAAAAAATGTTTTAGTTTTCAATCTGTTTGATACTTACTCAGGTAAACATTTAGCAAAGGATCCTGTGCGATTATTTTTCCCACAATGTCCATTAAAGTTTCCGGTTGGATTGAACCGCTCAAAACACTGGTAATCTGCTCCTGTTGCCTCTATTAAGAAACATATATTTGTGATGTGTGTAAAACAGACTTATATGGAATCTCTACAATGTTTTGCCATAATCTTTGAAAATTTACCAAAATGTAAAACAAAATTGAGGAACACAACCATAACCTTTATTTGTGTTGAATTTCAATATCCCACTATACTGCAGATCCTTTGTTTTAAAATCCTCTTCATTCAGAACAGGGAGTGAATTCTAGCTTTAGTTTTAGATAACGGTTATCAAGAAATCTGCTAAATCATGCACATCCTAATAGCGCCATAAGTATACCCTACCTTAACATATTAGTTTGCCAAAAGACGATCTATATGAACAAAATCTTTTGAACTGAAGTTTTGAACACATGCAATTCAGCTGAAAAATGTTGAACAAATGATTTAGATCAAGGCTCTAAGTACAAATTATACAAATTGTTATATTCTTAATTGTCCTAAAAAGAGCCCAATAATTTCTGTGTTAGCTATGCTAATAAATGTTAACACCATTCATTTCTGTGAGAGTTTTATTTTCCATAATCAATACAAAAAAAATGTCCTCAAAGTGACAGTTATAACTAACAGGTAATTTTGGTATTTAGTGAATTTCTTGAGAATGTAACATTATACAACAAAATCATGTGCAAACCAAAAACTAAGTTTATTTCAAAATCCAGGAAAGTATGTAAATTTTACAGGTGAGTAGAATGAAAACCCTGTTTAATAAAAGAATTCAGCTTCCTATGGTCATCACATATACATGCGTATATATTTAACAACATGCAGTTGCTTGTTACACTCAAAAGTCTTCCTCTCAAAACCTGTTGGTGATAAATAGGGAACACTTACCTGTACCCCAGATGTGCTGACACTGCTGGGTAAGGGTAGGACAGATACCACCGACACAGTAACCTTCACCATTACCACATGGATGTCCATCCTGCACATAGTTGTTAGCAGAACACTGCAAAGGGAGATAATTCATACATGTATTTCAGTGCCAAACTTTAATTCTATACTACCTAGGGAACCTTTTACAACAAAACATGTACTACCATAAAAAAAATCATTGAATATGTATATTTGACAGTCAGGGGAAACAATTTTTCAATTTTTGTTTTTTTCCTTTTAAATTTTTTTTTATTTCCAATGGCAATCCATTTGTTTCCATTCAACAAATCAATAAATTCATTGGTGGTTGTCTATTTGTGTTTTTTTAAATTTTAAAACTGTATGAGTTCTCTAAACACAAGATTGTCCTGGATTTGAGAAAGCTATCTATCAAATCAGATGAAAAGTACTGCACCTCTCCACTGTCTCCAGTACAAAGCTCTGGGACATCACATTCGGTGGACCTCTCCCGACACACGTAGTTCTTAGCCATGAACTAAAAATCAACAATACAAAATCATCATTGCACATACAAGAAAATCGCTGACACATCATAGAGAATCATCCTTTTGACGATTCATAATTTTGAGAAGTGAACTTTAAATATGCATCATGGTACATTAATCTTTTCATATAAGTTTGACCCAAGATCAATATTTTGTGACATATGTTTCCACAAAACTCTACAAAATAACAAGCATCCCCCTTTTCCTCCTAAAATGATTTCCTGTAGCATCATGGATGAAAAAGATGCCTAAAGTTGATGATAAAATAACACAGGCTTATCAAATACTGTTGTTCTACTTACAGTGCAGTTATGACAGCAGGCACCAGTACGACACTGTGCCCAAGTCTTAAGGAGACATGTATGAGGGTCACAACAGGGGTCAATCTTCTCACATTCCTCTACTCCTCCACAGTCACACTCTTCCCCACGTTCTATGTACATGTTACCACAGGTCTGGGTAAACGTCTCCTGTAGATTACCAAACATTTGTTAGTGGAGGTAACTTTACATGTTACAAGTATGGGTAAAGGGATCCTGTGAACACAAAGCATTTGTCAGGGGAGATAATTTTACATGTAACCATACTTCTGGGTAAATGTCCAAAGTGAACACAAACCACTTGCTGGGGAAGTAACTCGAAATGTTACCACATGTTAGGTAAAGATCTCTATTAGAACACAAAACATTTGTTTGGGAAGGAAACTCTACACTTTACCATAAATCTTTTTCAATGTCTCCTGTAGAACAACACAAAACATATGATAGGGGAGGTAACTCTATATATTACCACCAGTCTCAGTAAAGGCATCTCTTTATTTTACCACATGTCTGGAGTATCCTGTGACACAAAAAAAGGAAAAATGTTGAGGGGACATAAATTCTTTTTTTTTTTTGTATTACCACATGTCTGTCAATTCAGAACCAGTTCTGAATCACAAGCTGTCACTACATACTGTTTTATCATTATATCATTGCCTTAGTCTGTCATGAATTACCTTCTGATTATCAGGAGCCAAACACGATGCTATATCCATATTCAGGGCGACATCAAGGTCAGACAAACTGCAGGATGAGAACTGGCGTGAGTGGATACTCGTCTTAGACCTAAAACAATAATGTATTAAAAGCTACAAAATTAAGTAAATTAAGTTATCTCTTAAAGCATAATCCCGATAAACATAAATCTTTTTTGTGTCGTTGTAGGTAAGACTTTGCTGTGATTACAATAGCATTTTATTCTCTTATTGATTCAGTCATCATTCTAGAATACAAATATTATACAGCAACTTCATGTATTTAAAATGTAAATAAAAGTATTTTACTTACAGAACAGATGTAGACATGATACAACCAAAGTCATCCTCACAGTCACACCCTCCTGTAAACAGAGGTTGAATAGGTCATACAAAGGTCATACCCATACAAAACTCAACACTGCATAGTTATTTTATTTCTCATGTCTAAGATATTGTGCTTTTAATAAATAACTTATCTTAGGGGATTTCATTTTGCAAACCATAAAATGTCTGTTTTTGGAAAACCTTGTGAAGACCTCCGAGTGACAAATACAAGTAGCTGTAAACATGCCATATTATTACTCAAAATATTTCTATCTGGACTTTTTCAACAAAATCACACCTATGAAATGATGAAAAATGTTTCCAATTATGTTTAATTCATATTTGAAAATTTTCACGAACCAATGATTACCTCTGATTAACCACTAAACAACTGGGACCAGATATCAGTCTGGAGATGTAATTGTGCATTTTTAGGCCAATTATGTATTATATTAATTATGCTTAATAATCATTTCATTTCATTATATGTCATTGGCTAAGTTATTATCATGGGAATAAGGCACACATGTAAACTTAACAAAATAACACCCCACGTGAATATCAGCAACCTTATATAGTAACCTGCTATATTGTGCAACAAGTTAGTTGACACATCAGTACATATAGAGGTATATACACAAGACTGTATAAGTTGTCAAAGTCTAGTCATGTAATGATCCATAACCAAGGTCAATACTAAAGTCCATGTCGACACCTTTCTCTTGTTTCTGTGTAATACTGGTCCATCCAGTATACCCAGGTTGGCTATTCTTGTGAGATATACACACCCACCCATGCAATACAAATAGTTATTTGTAGTGACTATTTTTGTTTTGTTTTATTTTTCTAAGGCACACTTGACCAAATCTAGCTATGGAGAATTCATTTTCTATGTCAACTTGTCGATTAATTGAATTATGAAAAATATGATTTTTGTGTAATAAGGCATCAGTGTCAATGTCTGAAGATAATAATATTTCAATATTTTAGAGTGAGAAATGAGAGAAAAACATTCTTTCATATATGTGGGTGCAGGATGGGATATTTATCCATGAGGTCACAAATTGTGGTAAAACCTACTGCAAAGCCTTAGGTTTTACAGCATTTTATGACCTCTCCTACACTCCCAAACATGAAAAAGACTTATGCTACAAAAGGCTGTATAGAGGTCAACACGGAAACCAATATACATGTTGATTTATCAGTCTATATATAGGTCAACATAGATACCAATATATATGTTGATTTATTGGTCTGTATAGAGGTCAACATAGATACCAATATATATGTTGATTTATTGTTCTGTATATAGGTCAACATAGATACCAATATATATATGTTGATTTATTGGTTTGTATAGAGGTCAACATATATATCTATATAGAGGTCAACATAGATACCAACATACTGGGTACATGTTGATTTATATCTATATAGAGGTCAACATATATATCTATATAGAGGTCAACATAGATACCAACATACTGGGTACATGTTGATTTATATCTATATAGAGGTCAACATATATATCTATATAGAGGTCAACATAGATACCAACATACCGGGTACATGTTGATTTATATCTATATAGAGGTCAACATAGATACATGTTGATTTATTGGTCTGTATAGAGGTCAACACATATATCTATATAGAGGTCAACATATATATCTATAAAGAAGTCAACATAGATACCAACATACATATTGATTTATTGGTCTATATAGAGGTCAACAAAAAGTTCACAATAAAATCTGTAAAGAAAGTCAGTAGATGCATTAGAAATGAATTAAGACAGAGGATGATATCACCATAGAAGCCAGACATGATTGACTTAAAGTGCATGTGAGTCTGACTATGAAGGAAACAGACATGTTTACAGATACAACACATTCATTCCTGTTTTGCATGCAGTTTTTTATAGAGCTTAATGAAAAGAGCAGATTTATCACAGACAATAGTTTCTGCAAGGCAATATTTCTACAGATGTTCTTTAAAGAAAGATATCTTCAGAAAGATTTTCTTTTTGGCAGAAATGATATCCTCAGATTTTCCTTTAGGCAGAAATGATAAGGCTGGTGCACACTTCTTAAAGTATCCCACCAAAATGGACTCAGAAAGAAACATTGCTAAGTGATTTTTGAGACTCGGGTATTTGAATCCTGGACTCATGATTTTCCAGTAGGTTTAACTCAAACTTGGAGGACCCACTATATTCCTTAGTAATGGGACTCAACAAAATTTTGAAATGATTTTTTATAGATTCTTCTAAAAAAATCTTTAAACAAAAATGATTTCTTACACAGCATATTTAGCAAAATAAAGACATGTTTTTATAGCATCGTACAGTGATATAATTTCACATGCCAATAAAATAGATAAAAAATTTCACAAGACAAAATTACAAAATATGAAGTTTAAAATAAATGGCACTAGAAAATATCAGAAATCAAAACAAAATACAGTTTTATGAGAAAATGTGATGCAGGAACAAAAGTCAGGAGCCGACAATGTATATAGTAGTGGTTACCTGTATGATAAAGATATCGCTCCTTATCTATAGGTACAGCAAAAAACAGCACAGGTTAGTTATATGATAATGGTCAATGAATGAAACACAACAAACTGTATGTATTAATAAATGGCCAATACTGTTAAACCATACACATATCCTTACAGTAGAAATTACATCACATTTTACACTATATCATATCAACAATATCATGCAGTACTGTTGCAATGTTTTAATCATATTGTCTTTACCCTCCTTTACACTTGTGCCCTAGCAGACACTGGCCTGTTTTAAATAGGCTGACACATTGTCAGTATAGACAAAATGAGAATATCAGGTATCTTACTGTGAAATCTTATATTTCAGAGGGGCTCAATTTTCATGGTTTTTGAAAAATTCATTTTTTCATCAATGTTTGATTTCATGGATGAATGTTGACCAATATAAATGAATTTACAATAATTATAACAGTTTGTGTACTTATGAATTCAAAGATCAAAAGTAACCACAAAATCACTGAAAATAAACCCCCACCAAAATAAATGATTTCACAGTATGTTGGAAGGAAAGCAGAATGCTGGGGCTGTCACTGTTCATTAAGTTAAGTAATGCACACTGCATGTCTTTTACTTGCAATAAAAGCAACAATTATTGAAGTATAAAATAAACTGCAAATCAATGTTTTATTTCTAGATACATATTCAATTTTTTAGTAAATTTGTAACTGTTAATAATATACACTGACGTTAGTCTATGTATAACTATATGTATATCCACCAAGGTTAAAATACTCACCGTCTTCATCGTGTTTAATCCCAAGTGTGTGACCTATCATGTGTGACAGGATAGTCGCGACTTGCTGAGGCTGGAACACATTCTTCATCTGTAAAGTAGTTATAGAAGTGCATATATTGAACTGAATGATAATGACAAATAACATCTTAAAGCGATTATGAATTCTTTGAAATTTTGAAAGAAAAGAAAGCAAATCAATTTCAGTTTTTTAAAAATATTTTTATGTCTACTGAACACATGCTTTTGTATGGTGTTAAATTTATGTGGATGGGGAAAATTTGAAGTGCACTGTTTTTGAGAAGCATTTCTGATATCCATTTTTCTTGATGGAATGTTCAGAATCATCATTTTTTCAATTATCTTTAAACAAAGTCCAATGGATGGTAATTTTCCTTTAAGAAAGAATCACCAGCTTACCAAAACAATCTGGGGTAAAAATTTCGCCATAAAACAAAGTTGTGAAAATATGAAAATATGCAATACATACATATTAAATGCAAACAGTTACTTTATACTTTCAGATTTTTCACTACACTTATCTCAACACCTACCAGATTTATAGTCTAGGGAAGGTTTAGGGTAGCGTATACGAACCTTATTGATGCCGACGGCCCGTTTTGTACACACAGAGTCCGGAATGGCCATACCTATAGAGTTGTCCTCTAAATCCTCGCCACTGTGAATAAAACCAACCAACATTCCTGTTACTTTTATATAAACACCGACAGAGTACCAAATTAAAACCTGCTATAAACTGATTTCACCTAAACATCCCCTCTGACTTCAGTCAGGGATTGAGCTTATTACAGTCAATGAAATACCATTTGCATTCAACTAAAACAAAACAGACGAGGGTCGGCTTATTACCAGACATATATCATTAGACAACTTTATGAAAATGTCTTTTGTAAGACTTACACTAGAAGGTGTGCTGCATCATGTTCTATCTGTGAGAGTTCTCTCCCCTTGTATAGCAGGATCTGATCCAGGTTTTTCCGGAGACTAGGTGTAATATCTATTTTGTCTCCCTGGTTCCAATGTTCAAGATAAACAATCGGTGTCCTCATCCCTATTTCCTTGTAATACTAGAAATATGAAATACAGAGGATACAAAAATGAGTACAGGATACAGTAACCCTAGGAAATCAAAAATATGGTATAGTAAAGGGATGTATACTAATCTTAATTTGTAACTTAATTTACCAAGCAATGAAAAAGCAATTATGGAGCTGGTCTACCTATTGAAAAGAACAAAATGTTCTGAAGAAAGTTTAACTTAAGAAAGACTAGACTTGTCCCCCCACCACTGGAATGGTTATACCTGATATCAACAGCTCAACATGGCAAAATGTTTGTTTGAATATATTGAATATATTGATGACAAGTACTCAGATTTTTTCTCCCTTAAACCATCATCAAAGCAAAACTACTGGGAAACTTCCTATCTACTACATTAGCAATGATCGTGGTGAATGAAAAGTACTTACCAAATCGACAATATTGGCTATCTGTATAGTATAAGTGACCATCTCGCTGAAACTGAAGTTTAGCTGGTTGCACTGGAATACAAAAGAATTAGACAGTTGAGGCTAATCAGGAAATACATTGTAATGACAATAAGCATTGTATTAATTTGCATTTGAATGGATTATAAAAATATTCAGATTAAAACAAACAAATAGTCTTCTACACAAAGCTCTAGTCTACAGCAGTAATCCCACTTGCTAGTCAAGTCAACTGCTTCCAATTATTTCATAATACTGCAAGGTTTCAAGCACACCATATACAAATAATTTTGATAATTTAGAGTTATTTCCCTTGATTTCAAATGGCAGGAAACATTCTTTCTTAAGTTTACACTTCCACACATAACAAATGCGTTACTGGTTGAGTGATCAATCTGCTTACGTGTCCCAAGTCCTGTATGGGTAGAATTTTCATGAGACTTGTAGATTTTTAAAATACTGAATTTTTTCAATGTGGGACTCAACAAGAAAGATGAAAAGGACTCATGAAAATCATCAGTAGATTGATCCCTGTGGTTGGATTTATTCTGGAAATCTTTTGTAAAGGAGATCCATTCATACTTATAAGGTAGCATACACTCCTGTATATCCTTAATTGTTTAACTTACTGTGGCATGATCTACAAGGAGAGCTAACTTCATCATCTTATCTGTCACAATACTAGCAGGGTCTTGTGGGTCACTTTGCTGGCTTGATTGCTGTAAAAACAGAAGAAAGAAAATTTACTTTGTTTAGAAGGCTGTGAAAATTTTGCTTAAATACTGTATCTGCAACATATACAACTAAGGACAAGGACAGCCAAGGACATGGGCAGTCAAAGACATGGGCAGCCAAGGACATGCAAAGCCAAGGACATGGGCAGTCAAGGACAAGGACAGCCAAGGACAAGGACAGCCAAGGACATGTACAGCCAAAGACATGGACAGCCAAGGACATGTACAGCCAAGGACATATACAGCCAAGGACAAGGACAGCCAAGGACATGCACAGCCAAGGACATGGACAGTCAAGGACAAGAACAGCCAAGGACCAGGACAGCCAAGGACATGCAATGTCAAGGACATGGACAGTCAAGGACAAGGACAGCCAAGGACATGTACAGCCAAGGACAAGGACAGCCAAGGACATGCACAGCCAAGGACGTGCACAGTCAAGGACAAGGACAGCCAAGGACATGTACAGCCAAGGACATGTACAGCCAAGAACAAGGACAGTCAAGGACATGTATAGCCAAGGACAAGGACAGTCAAGGACATGTACAGCCAAGGACAAGGACAGCCAATGACAAGGTCAGCCAAGGACAAGGACAGCCAAGGATATGCACAGCCAAGGACATGGACAGTCAAGGACATGCACAGCCAAGGACATGGACAGTCAAGGACAAGGACAGCCAAGGACATGCACAGCCAAGGACATGTACAGCCAAGAACAAGGACAGTCAAGGACATGTACGGCCAAGGACAAGGACAGCCAAGGACAAGGTCAGCCAAGGACAAGGACAGCCAAGGACATGTACAGCCAAGGACAAGGAAAGTCAAGGACATTTACAGCCAAGGACAAGGACAGCCAAGGACAAGTTCAGCCAAGGACATGCACAGCCAAGGATATGCACAGCCAAGGACATGGACAGTCAAAGACAAGGACAGCCAAGGACATGAGCCAAGGACATGTACAGTCAAGGACAAGGATAGCCAAGGACATGCACAGCCAAGGACAAGGACAGCCAAGGACATGCACAGCCAAGGACAAGCACAGCCAAGGACAAGCACAGCCAAGGACATGCAAAGCCAAGGACAAGGACAGCCAAGGACATGTACAGACAAGGACATGTACAGCCAAGGACAAGGACAGCCAAGGACATGCAAAGCCAAGGACAAGGACAGCCAAGGACATGTACAGCCAAGGATATATAGCAAGTCAACCACAATGACATGGACGTGGACAATAAAATTGCATGATCTAGCTAGGCAACAGTAATTCTAATAGTTCTGATATTCTACAACAGCCAATAAAATACATTAAGGGAAACCCCAAACACAATTTTTCTTTCTGGCTTCCCGACAGCCAGACGGTTTATACCATCCTGTGTACTTACAAGTGCCCTATACTGCAGTACAAATAGATTTGGTATCATACATCATTATCACTTCAGTTCTATAAATCACATTCACCATAGCTTGATGTTCTTAATACTACGACATGAGACAAATGTATCACTGGAAATGATCAAATGGGCTTTTCAAAATACACACAACACACCAGCACTGAATTTATATAAAAAAAAAACATCAGATGTTCTTTCAAGTACATGAAACAAGTCTTTTAGCATTGCATCAAACATTTTTTAAAAAAATGAAAAAGCAAGCATTGAATTTTATATGAAACAGTATTTGAGCTACAATACTCCATAAACCACCAAGGATTGTAGTTTATAAATGTAGATGAACAAAATATAGTATAATGATACAACGATTAATGGAAGTGTATCTACACTAGTCTAGAAACATTTCTAAAACCAGTGTAATTCATCTCTTCAGTTTTCTTTTCTCCCTCTTCATGTTAATTCAGTTGTTGAGCATATGTCTCCAGTCAATCTGGCTCAATCATAGAGAAAGAGAAAGACAGAAAGACAAAGAGACAGAGAGACAGAGAGAGATAGACAGAGAGAGACACACACAGAGAGAAAGACAGAGAGACAGACAGAAAGACATAGACAGAGACAGACAGAGAGACAGAGAGAGATAGACAGAGAGAGACACACACAGAGAGAAAGACAGAGAGACAGACAGAAAGACAGAGACAGAGAGAGAGAAAGACAGAGAGACAGACAGAAAGACAGAGACAGAGAGAGACAGAGAGACAGAGAGAGATAGACAGAGAGAGACACACACAGAGAGAAAGACAGAGAGACAGACAGAAAGACAGAGACAGAGAGAGACAGAGAGAGATAGACAGAGAGAGACACACACAGAGAGAAAGACAGAGAGACAGTCAGAAAGACAGAGACAGAGAGAGACAGAGAGACAAAGAGACAGAGAGAGATAGACAGAGAGACACACACAGAGAGAAAGACAGAGAGACAGACAGAAATTCAGAGACAGACACAGAGACAAAGAGAGAGAGAGAGAAAAAAAAAAAAAGAGAGAGAGTGAGAGAAAGAAAAAATCCACCTGTAATTTTGAATTTACATTTTCAAAAGGAATGGACTCATAAATGATCCTGAATAATTTTCGCCAAATTAAAAGTGATGCAGTATTCATTCAGTGAGAAAATGCCTTAATAATGGCTAGTTCAAGAGGTTGATTTACTATAAAACAAAAAACAAAATGTGAAATAAAAAACTGATGCTTCAAGCTCTATAACAATCTTCCAGAGACAATGTATTGGATTTTAATTATAACACTAAAGACTCTTTGCCCTGTGGGATCTTACACACGGAAAACTGTCCATCAGTTAACAGCACAGGGAATGTTCGTGACAGAAGCAGAGAAAGTCTCATGGAGGGAAAACTTGCTGTTGATCTTGATTTTATTACAGATAACCATTACCCCTTCACTGTTCTCTGTGATTTGTAGTTTCCTCTCTGCAAGATTCTGATAGGACTGACCGATATTCTTCTTTGGTTTACGAGCCATTGTATAAATATTGATCTGGCAACATTACCTTGAAATAAAGCTTAATAAAGAATCTCCCCTATGGATAATCTTCATCAAATATCACCCTCATTTGAGCTGCTGTAGATTATCTATTGGAAATGTGGCCGCATCTCTTAGCTCTGCCTGGATCAGAAATCGGAGAATATCCGGATAGGCTATATTGTAGTATCATCCTGACTTTAATAGTTTACAGTCCAGTACATCTCACATGCTTCCTGGAAGATTCTATGTTCTAACCAAAACTCAAGAAATCTAAAGTAAAGTTGGTTAATTCAATGATTTTGAGGATTTAAGTGTTTCAGAAAAGCCTTTGTAACATGTTTAACTGATTTACAATTCTCACAAAAAATCACTTCATTGAAGAATTGTAACTTTATTTTTATTCCTTTAGGTTTGGACAATCTTCATTTCTTCTATAAATTGATGAACATTTTACAAATTACTTATTGCTAATCAAATAATAAATAATCCCATAATTTTTACTGAGTTAAACCTTCATATCATTCCCCTCTTTGTGCTAAATGTCACCTCTAGTATTGTTGTATTAAAAATACACTGCAAGAAAACTTTATTTATTATGCAATAAACAGAATCTTACATTTGTTTAGATAAAAAGATTATAAATAGAATCTTCTATTTGTTTAGTCAATAAACAGAACCTTACATTATGTTAAGACAAACAGAACATAAAGAATCTTCCATTTGTTCAATCAGTAAACCGATGCTTGTATTGATCAAAAGAAACTTGCATATTTTTCAAGAAACAGAATCTTGTACTTGTAGTCAATTCTCTTCAGATAGTTTTTAAACTTTTCACAAGTTATCAATACAGATTGCTACAGCCTTGCTAATACTAAAAAGCCATCATTTGTTTGATCAATCTCATGGAGTAGCAAATCATACCACATCCCTTTATTTTTAAATTCACAATAATTTTCTTTTGTTGTAGGACTGAAAGCCATCCTAGGTTACAATAATGCATTGAAGTTATTTGGCCTGATCAAATCTGTATTTATCTTTATTCAAATGACAGTTCAAATTAGAAAGAGAAACAAAAAATTGAGAAATAATCAGCAAATCCCAATTGTCATCAACTTCATCTTCATAACCAGAATCAACCTTTTAACCCATCCATCAGATTTCTTCCGTCTGTGTTCACTCACAACATCAACACTCACAACTTTATCCCATTACAAACATGAAACTCTTATACTTATAAATGACAGAAAAACACTGTAGTTGGATATTGTCCAACAAGACAGTAATTCATACACAAGACAGGTGATTTGGCAAGAAAACTGTACCATTTCATTATTTCTATATGGTACAGTTAAACCAAACCTTTGTACCTCACATTTCCACAATCAATAGTCTAAAATAATGCATTGGAAGGGCTGGCAAGTTATATCAGCACTGAGGACACATAGAACCAGAATTAGATCAGGCAGAATTCAATTTGGCAATGAGAAACATCCAATCAGGAGCGAAGATCCTAGCTGTGAAAAATCCCCCGAGTACTCCTTGCAGTTCGACAGTTCATAAATGTGCCAGGTTGGAGTTATCTATCAATGATAACACTTATTACACAACGAACTGCAATAAATGTGTCCTCCAGTATACTTTATTTTACCTATCAACTAGTCACAATGTCATCAAATTCAAAATTACTTTTAAAAAAATAACCCTAAAAATACCAAAATACAGGGTAACTATGATGTTTGTGACAATTTCATTACCGCACCTTACCTAACAATACTTTAAATGTTCATTCCAAGAACCTTTGGCCTTGACTTTAACAAATGGGACATGGAGGTCACATCAAGTTAATTAGGCTTAAATTTGGATCTACTGGTAACTGATGTGTATATAATGCATAAATGCCTGGCAGAATTAGAATTAAATGGAGTAGCTGTTGTGTCCAACATCTAAATCATCTTTCCATTTATCCACACTGACAGTACAGTCAACATCTTTGGCCTCATTCATCAATCATGTTTTCTTCGTATTGAATCATTTTCAACACACAATGATGACATTATATATAGCTATACAGATACTGTGTATAAATGTTGGCTTCTGACTGAAATAATCCCCCACCCACATACCTACCACCCCTTCTGGAGTGGTCATGTGTGACCTTTGAAACCCTCTTTCTTGATTATGCTTGAAGCGATCACCAGATTCTGATGAGGTGAATCATATATTTTTGACATATACAAGCAAACCTCTCAGTAAAGACCATTCAGAGAAGCAAAGAGAAGTGGCACTTATAGGGAGGTGACCATTATATTGAGGTTCAATTACAAAAAGTGACCATTATAGACAAGTAATTGTTATACAAAGATGGTTTCTAAGACAGGTCTCACTGTACTAAATCTGATCAAGTATCAGGCATCATGCACTTTTACTATTTTTTCTTTTGCTGTTCAAAGTATCATGAAAAGGAGAAAACATCAAGAAGTCAAGTAATGGGACAATAAATATACTAGGAAAATAGTAGCTCAGACAAAATGTGTAATGTGCACAGATAACCATGATATTGTCATCAGAATCCATCAGAGGCTTGCATTGCAGATGTCAATCAATGTGATTTTATGAGATCTGACAGACAATAGCTTTTACAGTGAGTGCCAAATGTATCCCTCGAGTTTATGCTCTTACTGCATTACCACAGCAAATTTTATCTTTTTTAATATATCAAATTCATGCAGACTAGACTGATCCTTTAGACGAAAACAATTTTCACCTAAAAAAAAAAGAGTCAACAAAAAGAATGATGCATGTTTGCTGAAAATATGATATACTACAACTGTTTTCCAATCAGAACTGACACCCTGACCAATGCATAAGCATGCACAGCCCTGATTAATGGGGTCAGTACTACAACCAATAGTCTCCAAGAAAGATCAGATTTGTTGATTTGTTGATAGACAACTGTAAGGCTATAATATAAACATCTCAAACTGATCAAAGGGCAAATAAAATTTTGAAGCATAAAAATTCTTTCCTTTTATTTTTTTTTCAAAGATAAAATAACATATAGATATCAACAGAATTAAGGGAATATACAAATAAATATTTGTTTTCTTATAGCTAAATATTTCACAAACATTAATGATCATTCATTACTAAGAATATTAAAAATTATTAAATAAAAAATGTTTTTTCATTTTCAAAATCAGTTCAAAACAAACGGTTCATGATCAAATTATTGAAGCATCAAAAATTTTTCTGCTACTTTAGAGAAGGCAGTACAGTAAAATTGCATGCTACTAGTAAATGATCAATATTGTAAACTACCAGGGCAGCAGTATGTCACGGGACACTTTTATCGTCATCTCTTCCCCAGTGATCGGGCGGCACACTGTCGTAAAGCTGTATCGAAAACTAAACATCACAAGCAGATGTAGGGAGAATTATCGGTGAAAACATCCGTCAAAGCACAGCACATCGTGACCAACATGTAGCATGTCATGATGAAAACGTTCAAGAGAACTATTGTGTATCTGGAGAGGACATATTGGTAATTGTCATGAACTCTGGCCTTGCAGTCTTGCTGTTCTCAGTTTTAGGTTAGATCTGTTCAGTAATAATCTGTTTACAAGGAGATGTACTTGTCATTTCCAGATGAATCCTTATCATTCACTCCATGTTAATGTTGTTTTTCATTGCAGAAATATTTAACAGGCACTTTTAGCTTTATGAAAAATGGTCATGATGATGTTTTCTCAATTCAACACCCTATTTATTATTGAAGGACTCAACAAGTCACCGACTTTCACTTTGAGGAGACAAAACCACATGTGCTACAACTCATTGTCTAGAAGCCATCCCCAAGTGTTCCCGAGACATGCACATCATTATCAAACTAAATACCAGACTGTCAGATCAGGGTAATTACCTCCCTTTACAACCTTGACTTTCATTATCTCCCCTTTTGGAATTCTTCTTCAATTAGATTTTAAGTCTTATCTGTGGAAGTAAACTTAATCTTGTAATAAAGATGTTGAAGTTCCTCCTGTTTCCCATAAAAATATAACCTGTTTGGTTTGGATAATTGAATCCAAGGACGACTTTCTGGTTGTTCGTCAAAAAAAAAAATCCTCCCCTGATACTTGTTCAAAATGGGGGGTTGTGGGTATGTGTCATAAATCACTGTAGCAACTGCACCAACTACTACTCTCTCTCCTGCAGTTTTCATCAGCTTACACAAAAAAAATATTTCATGAATATAATATCCAAATTTTTCACATATTTTTAGATTCTATACTGAAACCGCTCAATTTGTTTCCAGTTCCTAGCTAGCTATGTTGAGTTGCTACCTTGCGCTGCTCACTGGTAACAATAACAGTAAACAAGTTTTGTTTGCAAGCTAGCTAATTAGGCAGAGTGTAATCACCCAGCCTGTCATAGCATTAGCAGCTGCCGTGCCGACATCTTTGAAAAATTAGATGTATTAGTCGACATCAATACCACTGTTCAGGAAACCTTTCTACAGTGACTGTACAAGTTGGAGGTTTCTCTTGATTACCTTAGTGTTTGTGGCAGAGACTTGCAATCATATGAAAAATGCTCAGCTGAGTTTAGTGGGCAATTATACTGATGGTGGGGGTTGGAAAAGGTGACAATTACAGCCTTATATCACAAACTGTTAAACCTTTCTGTAGCCAGGGAGACCCAATACACAAACTTCAGTGATAGGTTTGTTGTGGAAAACAGGCAATGATTTATAACTTCTGAGTATTTGGCATATACAGAGGAACAGAAGAGTTAAAAAAATGTTAGTTACCAAAAATACCACAGGACAAGATCACCCCTCCCTCCCCCACCCACCCCATCTTTCCATACACTCTCACCTCACCCCTTTCTTACATCCCCAATGCTGCACCCCAATCTCTCCTGAAATATGTGGGAGTTTGCTTCATATAAAATTCTTTGCACAAGTGAAACGAAATTCATTAAAGAATCAAGTGTAAGAAGAAATGAAAACAAGGGGAGATAACTGAACTACATGTGAGGTGAGAGTACTATTTAAGGTAATGGAATAAATGTCTGGCAATGTTTGAGTCATTTATGTAAGGGAGATAACCTAACAAGCAGTGAGTGTAACAAACCTGTTTTGCCTTGAGATGTTTGACCCTTTTGATAAACTCTCCTTTGTGGAGTTCCTGGAAGGGTAGCCATTGACCATGATCATTTCCTGCACAAAATAAAAACATTTTTAGAACAAAGTAGACACTGACAAGCATAAAATAAGATTTTCATCAAAAAATGTTTAAATCCAAGCAATTCAGTTTACAAATTGTTTTAGGAGGCAAACTGTATTAACATGGAATGCATAAATCAAATTTTCAAAGTGAGGAAAGTACCCAAAGAAGGATTTTGTAAATGGAAACTTTAATTTTCTGAAATAGCTAAATAGTTAAACAAGTCTTTCAGCTCTATTTTCCAACACTGTAAATGATAACTAATTTACTCAAGTGAAAACTGTCAAATTTCATTAACTTTCTTCCTTTGTCCCATAGCGATATTTTTAGACAAAATAATAAATATTTAAAAAATCCCCCCTAAGGAAGTTCCTAAGTAGACATCAACTTCAACAGGCATTGTGTACTTACCACATTTTTCTGACTCTGACGGTGTCGCCTTAAAAACCAAATGGGGGTGTTCGGTCTGCAATAAGCAATATATATATGAAAAAAGTATTTAAATTTCAATCAAACACATACATAACTTCATAGCATGCAAATAATATTCATAACTAAATTTAAAAACACTAAAAAAAAAAAAAGAAGCTGTTTTTAGCTACTTACTACTATTAAGAAACATCTATATAACACTAGGTATTCTCCTGAAGCCTAGAATACTATGAAATCAGCAGGATGTTGGTTCTTCAGAAGTTTCTCCAACTAGATATTTTTCTTGTCTGTTTAAAACACCAATTTCTGTATTTAAGTAAACTCGTACATGGAAATAGTACTTTCAGGATTGTTAGATAAGAACCAACATAGAGTCTATTAATGTGGCCCCTTTATAATACTCACCCCCTCATCTCCTCCTAGAAGTGGCTGAATCACGTAGGTCTCATTGTTCAGATTAATCACACCCCTGAAAAAAAATCAAATTGAAAAATTATCACAATCTTCTGTCAAACCGACTCATTGGAAATCATATCCTAAATACATAATCAGTTTCAGCATACTCTGTATGTATCTAAATAGTTTTGAGATATGAGAAATTTTGATCTGCCTGAGAAAATATTTGTGTGGTGGGGCAGTCATCAATAGGTTTATACATACTTGTCTTTTATTTCTGTTTTTTTTTTTGCTTGTATTTAGAACACTAGGACTTTTAGTGAACTTAATCAATAATTACTTCCCTTGCTGAGGTTTTTTTTTTTTTGTTAAAAAAGATCAAACTATTATCAATTTAAAATGACCACATTTTAATACTTAGTCATAAATCTTTCAAGAAACTGTATTTAGATTAATTTAAAGGAAAATCTTCTCCTACATCATCAAAATTAAGTTACAGGAATTTTCCACCTCATCATTCAAATTTACACAGACCATCAGACATTTCATAAAGTCACTCTGAAACTAAGTATCACCTTAAACAAGAGATCTACCCTCATCAAAATATCAAATGCATACGTAAACACACACCAGCAACCGACCAAATTTATAAATCACTTTCTTACCATAAGCAGATTACACAGAGAAAACCTACCCCCAGACCATGCACTTTTCATAATCTCATCTGACAGAGTCCAGAAGTAATTGAAGTGCAAATGAAAATCTTTAAAGTGCACCAAATGAACTCAGTTTCCATGATGTTTTTATCCCCACTTTATCAATCATGCTGGCATTTTATGGTTACTTTGTAATATAATACCAAACTGATCCTTTTAAGCCACATTCACTGGATTGCTGTGCTGTTCCAAATGGAATTCCAGAAACAATTTTGGGAGTAGATTTCTAACACACTGACATATCTACATCCCATACATCATGATATCAGTTAAGTACAATAACGCTTTTATTTTGGACTGAAAATCTCTCTATTGTAACACACCCAACCAACAACATTTTTAGAGTAAGACATTAAAGTTGATGTTATCAGTTAACCCTATATCTTTCTGATAAATAACCTGTGTATATTGAGTATCTATACACTACACCTGTAGTGACCAGCTGTTTTTTACAGTAGACCTAGTAACTTCAGCAACAGGAAGGTAGGTGTAGGGAACACTTGGTTTTTACAGTGGACCTAGTAACTTCAGCAACAGGAAGGTAGGTGTAGGGAACACTTGGTTTTTACAGTGGACCTAGTAACTTCAGCAACAGGAAGGTAGGAGTAGGGAACACCTGGTTTTTACAGTACTCCTAGTAACTTCAACAACAGGAAGGTAGGTGTAGGGAACACCTGGTTTTTACAATGGACCTAGTAACTTTAGCAACAGGAAGGTAGGAGTAGGGAACACCTGGTTTTTACAATGGACCTAGTAACTTCAGCAACAGGAAGGTAGGTATAGGGAACACCTGGTTTTTACAGTAGTCCTAGTAACTTCAGCAACAGTAAGGTAGGTATAGGGAACACCTGGTTTTTACAGTAGACCTAGTAACTTTAGCAACAGGAAGGTAGGAGTAGGGAACACCTGGTTTTTACAATGGACCTAGTAACTTCAGCAACAGGAAGGTAGGTATAGGGAACACCTGGTTTTTACAGTAGACCTAGTAACTTTAGCAACAGGAAGGTAGGAGTAGGGAACACCTGGTTTTTACAATGGACCTAGTAACTTCAGCAACAGGAAGGTAGGTATAGGGAACACCTGATTTTTACAGTAGTCCTAGTAACTTCAGCAACAGGAAGGTAGGTGTAGGGAACACCTGGTTTTTACAGTACTCCTAGTAACTTCAACAACAGGAAGGTAGGTGTAGGGAACACCTGGTTTTTACAGTAGTCCTAGTAACTTCAGCAACAGGAAGGTAGGTGTAGGGAACACCTGGTTTTCACAGTAGACCTAGTAACTTTAGCAACAGGAAGGTAGGTGTAGGGAACACCTGGTTTTTACAGTACTCCTAGTAACTTCAACAACAGGAAGGTAGGTGTAGGGAACACCTGGTTTTTACAATGGACCTAGTAACTTCAGCAACAGGAATATAGCTGTAGGGAGCACCTGTTGGGGGCTTGCTACCCTTCTTAATAGCTCTTTTTTTTTGTATTGAAAAAAAAATGCATGAAAGCTTCTGTCTTACTGTCTTAAAATGTTAATAATTGTAAATTACTTTGAGCTAAAAGTCATACTTAAATTTATATTTCTGTTATTGACTAGTTTTAAGAATCCGGATTTCTATAAGATGTCTTGTTCTTTTATAGCTTTCACTCAGAAAAATAACTTTAATGTATGAATGTCCACTCTCAAATAATGATAATGTATCATTGTTAGACAAATTTCAATAAATAGTAATAGTGATCTTGAAACATTGAAACACAAACCATCTGAGGTGGTATCATGGATGAACTTTGCAGAAAGTTTGAAAAGAAATTCCTCCAGTAAAGAAGTCCCTTGAGTGAAATAACAGACTAATCCAAGACCGACATTGGTCATTTAAAACTGCAGGTTTGATCCTCTAAACAAACGTTAATAAAATTTTTCAATCTAGTTTCATTAAGTAAGACCTCCACCTTTAAGTCAGATCATTGTCTCATAAGAAAAGAAAACAAGGAATTTCAACAACTTTTTGAAGAACCCCAGAAACTTATCAGCTATGTACAGTGACGGATCAGAAAAAGCCAAATTTTCTTAAGGGTTACAAGAAAGCAGTCTCTCTTGAAGTCATAAAAAGAACAAATTATGAAAAAAAAAGGATGATGGAAAAATCAGATACGGTACTGGTACAAATAATAAAATCTGTGAAGAGTTGATGCGAGTAACATACTGGTGCCTATATCATTAAGAAATGCATTGAAGTACTCGCCTATAATCTTTGGCAGATGTCTGTACAATATTGCACACTCTCTGTGTTACAGAAGAGGCTACCAGAACATCTCACACCGTAACATTTCAATTATCAGCTGGATTTGAAGTCATGTCAATCAGTAATTGGTTTCTGTTAAATAAATTGAACTGTACATTGTTGAAAATTGGCAGTTTTCTGTTTCTTACTTTTTCCTATCTCAATACGTTAATGTTACCCCAATGCTTCCTGGAAAAATTTACCTTGGAGTGTTACAAAAGAAAACCATACCTAATAATCTTTTCAAAAAGTCAGGAAAGAATTCAACATATACATACTATAACCTGTCTTATCCTGACCCTGTCTAACCCAGATTCCTGCCTATTACAGCTTAATTTATGGTCCCTGTATTTCTCTCTTAAATTACCCAAATTTTTTCATTATTCCAGAGAACGGCCTTTTTATCTCATTTAGGAAAAAAAGATCAAATTGGAAAAACATTTGAAATAGGAAATTGATCTATTTGGGAATGTGGCCAATATTGGGACCTACAGAGCCACTAGATAAAGTCCCATTATTGTAAGTACAATCTCTATAATTGGCCAATATTCAGACCAACAGAGCCTCTAGATAAAGTCCCATTATAGTATGTAAAATCTCTATAATTGGCCAAGATTCAGACCAACAGAGCCTCTAGATAAAGTCCCATTATAGTAATACAATCTCTATAATCAGCCAAGATTCAGACCAACAGAGCCTCTAGATAAAGTCCCATTATAGTAAGTACAATCTCTATAATTGGCCAAGATTCGGGCCTACAGAGCCTCTAGATAAAGTCCCATTATAGTATGTAAAATCTCTATAATTGGCCAAGATTCAGACCTACAGAGCCACTAGATAAAGTCCCATTGTAGCATGTAAAATCTCTATAATTGGCCAAGATTCAGACCTACAGAGCCTCTAGATAAAGTCCCATTATAGTAAGTACAATCTCTATAATTGGCCAAGATTCAGTAAGTACAATCTCTATAATTGGCCAAGATTCAGACCAACAGAGCCTCTAGATAAAGTCCCATTATAGTATGTACAATCTCTATAATTGGCCAAGATTCAGACCAACAGAGCCTCCCATTATAGTATGTACAATCTCTATAATTGGCCAAGATTCAGACCTACAGAGCCTCTAGATAAAGTCCCATTATAGTATGTACAATCTCTATAATTGGCCAAGATTCAGACCTACAGAGCCTCTAGATAAAGTCCCATTATAGTATGTACAATCTCTATAATTGGCCAAGATTCAGACCAACAGAGCCTCTAGATAAAGTCCCATTATAGTATGTAAAATCTCTATAATTGGCCAAGATTCAGACCTACAGAGCCTCTAGATAAAGTCCCATTATAGTAAGTACAATCTCTATAATCTAGGCCCTGTCTATTCTGAAAACTGATGTGTTAAGCTCCATTACTGTATGACAATCCTTCTTAACACATGTTCATACCAGCCTTGAACATTTCTCATCCTATGGTAATCTAAAGAAAAAAAACTTTTGAAGGCCTTCCATTAATGGACTTTTCAATACATCAAATTGAATGCCAAAGACTTTTCTACAAATCTGTTGCATTTAATCAAATCAGTGATAAGAGCATTTCCTTTAACTTCAATTTTCATAAAAACTTTATATCAAATATGTCAACAATTTTTTATTTCTATGAACAAAACATCACTGTTAACCAGCCAAAAGCATTGATCCTGAGAGTGCTATAAGTTCCACTGTGGATGGAATAAGTACTTGTTTGTGAAAGTTCACATCGGAAGTTGTAATATTTCAATTGTCTGAATGCAGCAGATGTTATCAGGGGTGTTTTATTGAGAATTTGATAAAGATAGATGCTGTTAAATAAAAATACACGTGGAAAGGTCAGACAGGCAAAAGTGAGATATGTGAGGAGCTCGCTAGTGGTACTGAATAATTTACAATTGTGATCTCTGATAATACTGACAGGTTTTTTTTACATCTCCATTGAAATGCCACAGGATCAAGTTATCTGTGATGTGTTCAAAAGTACAAATAGGGCAAACCTTCGTATTTAGGAGACTAGCTTTTCATTAACTTTAATATCTTAACATTCATCTCTTTCAGAGATCAACAGAATTATGTACAAATCATCATCAAATAGTTTTGGAAAATACAAAACTACACATAAGCTAGTGACAATCTCCACACAAAACAGTAAAACACTGCTCAAAATATTTATTAAATGAAAACATGAGCTAGGCCCCATGCAATATCGCATTTGACCTTTTACCTTTGACAAACAAAATCTAATCTTATGAAGCATTTAATAACACTATGTAATGATAACTCCTATATTACAATCTAATGTTATTCAGGTGAACAATTCTGTCTCATGGTGATTTATAAATCATTCTAAGTTAACAAGAGATTGGTCAAAACTGAGGAGAGGAAATCTTGAGACAGAAAAACAATGGGCAATAACTCCTACAAAAATATCAAAATGCAATTCAAGATTCATGAAAGCCTGCAATATCTCATGACATTCAATTGAAACCTGAGATAGTATGTCAGGACAAAAAACATATAGGATAATAGATAAACCAAGCAATACCATGACACCTATAGCACTTGTGAGTTACAGAGATAAAATCATGTACATCTTGTACATAAATTTGTAACAAACACACCAGCTAATGGATACTGAGACAAAGTGATACATCTTTTAGGAGTGAATTGAATGTAAAAATGCATGTAAACATTCATGTATCTGGAACAAACAAACTATACATTTACTATCATGTTGAAGTATACTATCATAACAATGAACAAAGATTAAATTAACTCAAAGGCTTACACCAAACAAACATCCTTGACTGACAATCACTTCTCACTCACATCTATCATAATGACAATAATGTACAAAATTATTTTCAAATATTCCAAAACTTCTCCATAAGAAGAGCTTATTTCCCCAATAAATCTTGTTTACCACCTACATAAGATAACCACAAAAGACCACAATCTGATGAAATGACAGCTTTTCCCTAGTCCCTTTGTATGTTACCATAGTAACAGATGACTTGCCTTGACAACAAATTGTATTGGCTGGATGATGGGTGCTGCAGGATGAGCTATGATCTATTCTATATTTATTACTACAAGAAGTTATGTTTGGGTAAATCTGAAATAATTTTTCCAAAAGATACTGCATATTTTACCATTAATGCCAATTCAACATAGCCATTAATCAGAACTAAACTTCACTTTTCTTCCAATATAAGCAAAAAGGTAGAAGCTCTAAGGAGGATGAGCTTCAAGAATGAGAAAACTGTACAAGGAGCTTCGAGGAGGATGATTGTCAAGGCCTTGAGGGTTAAACCAAAGCAGGAGTTTGAGGATGTAGAGCTTCAAGGAATAGGAGCTTTCTAGAGGATGGGCATGGAGGAAGAGCTTTGCAAAGGAGAAACCTCAAGTAGCAGCTTTGAAAAAGAACTTTGAGTAGGAGCTACAAGTAGGACAAGCATGAAGGAAAAGCCTTGTGGAGATCAAGGAGGAAGTTTGAGGAAGAGCTCATAGGAGGAGGAACTTAGGAAAGGAAGAACTTCTAGGAGGGATAACTTTAAGGAGCTTTGAGAAGGATTAGCTCTTAAGAGAAGGTGCTATTAGGAAGAGGAATTTCAAGATGAACGGCCTTAAGGACCATGGTATGGTGCCATCACACTGAAAATAACCCAACTTTATACTGACATAAGCATGCTTAAGCGCCATCCATCAAAAAATGGAAGTTGTTTAACTATGAGAAACTAAAACTTAGTGATGTCTTAGTTAGAGGAAATTGAAACCTTAACCTTTATTGGAATTAATACCCAACCCCAAGGCTAAAGTATCGTAAGATAATTAACTCTGAATGTTTTCATTTCAGTTAACAATTACCAGAACAATTGCCGTGGTAACGAAATAAAGCTATGATAATACATCAATGATAATTACAACATTTATCAAACCTTTAAAAATGCTGAAATGTTTCTTAATTACAACCTTCAGAACATTCCAATGAAACCAACTCAATCAACAAGTAATTAAATAGATAATGTTGTTGATGCAAGTGAGAAATATTGCTTGTTCAAAATATTAAATATTCAGTCTAATCCTCCATATGGAGCAGAAAACGATTAACGCCCTAGTGATGCATTTTCCACCACAAAAATATTAAGTGAAATAGCAAACAACACTTTTTTTTTTAATGTCAGAAGATGAAGATTATTGCAATGACATATGATTAAAACAGGGAACAACTCTCTGACTCGTAGATACCCACTGAGGTTATTTAAAAGTTACAACAGTTTCTAATTATATCAGATTCACAGACTTTTTGTTATCGAACACCTTAACAATTTCAGGAAACGCTTTAACATTTCACTTTTCAATCAAATTCAAGAACAACAGTCATGAGAGGCCCAAAGTATCTAAGCAACGAGGAGATTACTTTCTAATCAATGGAGTCAGGATTCAGAGCTGAGTCATCAGCCCTCCAATGGCTACACAAAAGCAGGACCCAAGAAACCCTGTAGTGTTTAGATATTACACAAAAACAATTGGCCTAATAGGCCTGTAATGTTCAATTTTACACAAAAACATGGCCTGAAGTGTTCAATATTACACAAAAGCAAGGCCCAATAGGCCTGAAGTATTCAATATTACACAAAAGCAAGGCCCAATAGGCCTGACGTGTTCATTTTATGGAAAGGCAAAGTCCCAATAGGCCTGAAGTGTTCAATATTACACAAAAGCAAGGCCCAATAGACATGAAGTGTTCAATATTACACAAAAGCAAGGCCCAATAGGCCTGACGTGTTCATTTTACATGAAAGCAAGGCCCAATAGTCCTGAAATGTTCAATATTACACAAAAGCAAGGCCCAATAGGCCTGAAGTGTTCAATATTACACAAAAGCAAGGCCCAATAGGCCTGAAGTGTTCATTTTACACAAAAGCAAGGCCCAATAGGCCTGAAGTGTTCAAAATTACACAAAAGCAAGGCCCAATAGGCCTGAAGTGTTCAACATTACACAAAAGCAAGGCCCAATAGGCCTGAAGTGTTCAATATTACACAAAAGCAAGGCCCAATAGGCCTGAAGTGTTCAATATTACACAAAAGCAAGGCCCAATAGGCCTGACGTGTTCATTTTATGGAAAGGCAAAGCCCCAATAGGCCTGAAGTGTTCAATATTACACAAAAGCAAGGCCCAATAGGCCTGAAGTGTTCAATATTACACAAAAGCAAGGCCCAATAGGCCTGACGTGTTCATTTTACATGAAAGCAAGGCCCAATAGGCCTGAAGTGTTCAATATTACACAAAAGCAAGGCCCAATAGGCCTGACGTGTTCATTTTACACAAAAGCAAGGCCCAATAGGCCTGAAGTGTTCAAAATTACACAAAAGCAAGGCCCAATAGGCCTGACGTGTTCATTTTACGGAAAGGCAAAGCCCCAATAGGCCTGAAGTGTTCAACATTACACAAAAGCAAGGCCCAATAAGCCTGACATGTTCAATATTACACAAAAGCAAGGCCCAATAGACATGAAGTGTTCAATATTACACAAAAGCAAGGCCTAATAGGCCTGATGTGTTTAATATTACACAAAATCCTGGCCCGATATAGGCCCGTAGTTATCAGGCCCCAGAGGCCTCTATTGTTCATTTTACGCAAAGGCAAGGCCCCAATAGGCCTGTAGTGTTCATTATTACAATAAAGCATGGTAAAGGTTTTACTAATGAGAGGTAACCAGAGTATCTAGGGAAAACCCATATGGTTGGGCAGTTGACCCTCTACAATATCACGTCTGTTTGGGGGAACCCTGGACGTCTAGATGAAAGACAAGTGTTTAACCTCACTCTGCCACCTAAACACCATATTTAGTATTCAATGCTACTCAAACACATGGCCCAATAGGCCTGTATCACTCAATATCAAAGGACAAAATCTTACCTGATTCCGTGGCAAGTACTGACCGCTACACTTGACCACTGATCCTTACGCACATAGCCATGGTAAAAACAATGCTCAACGGTCTGAAACAGCAAACACAAAATTCTTAATTTAACATCAAGTCTGTTTCTTATCGAATAAGTTCATTTCAGTGAATATTTTCATATCATTTGTAAGTGTTTCAATTTTTGTAAATAAAAACATAAAACATTCAATGATATCTAGAGAGAAACAAACAATTTATACCACATGTATAAACATGTAATTGTGAAGAGTGCATATTTTCAAATAATATAGTGCAATCCTGTAAGAAACCCTTGTGTCCTACTACAGCCACAAAGGATCAATGTATCGATTTCAACTAAAACATGGGTGGATTTATATCTTTTGATGATGAAATAGAACAACATTTGTTTGAATTTATGATCATACACTATTGTCGACTTGGGTGGGCTTTGGTTTAAACAAGCACTATGGGGCTAATTGTTGGACAAATAATTGGGTACATATCAGAAAACTCATAATTATCATCAGCACTACATTGATGTACAAGAGAGGATATTTCTCCAAATTTGCTGCTTTTCCTTAAAATTTCTTCAGTTTTTCATTTTTACAAAAAATTTCCTATATTTTTTTTAGTTTTCATAAATATGGATTAAAACTTGGAATCAGTTAATATAACTTGATATATTAAACAATACAGATGGTAAAGTGAAATAGGAAAAACGTTTAATTCTTACAAGACAATCCCTTGAAATATCAGACTTTGCAACTTCTCAACAAATAGTGATAACAATCTTTCAAAGTCAAAATTCAAGGTGACCATAAGTCACCCTTTTTAAGACACAACTAGGGACCAAGTGGAACTTACATATGAATATTAAGAAATATTGTTCTGGTGCTTCTCAAGAAATAGCAATAACAAACTTTCATTTTCAAAATGGCTACTTCTGAGCCATTTCGTTTCTTCTGATCAGTCCCAAAATCAAAAGGGCACAACTACGAACCAAGAGAAACTAGCATATGAAATTTGTGAAAGATCCATCCAGTAGTTCTCTAGAAATAGCTTTAACAAGAATCATTCAAAGACAGATGACAGAACTTGGTCCTAGATTTGAAAATATCACCATCCCAATGGTTGACCAATATCATCAGGAAATGGAGCCAATCAAATGTATAACTATATCAGGACAGGCTATTTCCCCTGGGTATTTAAGGACCTTTACACCAGCATGCAGGCTCCTGATCGCTGACAACATGATGAAGAGAAAACAGGATATTTATCACACAGTAACAAAAGTCATGTCCTGTACAGGAGCTGACATCCAAATCTGGTAAAGGTCACTGGTATAAAGTATAGGCAACTAAGTAAGTCAATTACAGAGTTATCTCCCTTGTAAAATATAGGCATCTAAGTAAGTCAGTTACAGAGTTATCTCCCTTTTATAAATTTGTAAGATTCTTACATTTTTTTGGATGTCATGATATTTCTCTATCATGTAACACACCATTCGTTTGCTGTATGTTAAAATAGTCTTGTACTAGTTTTTACACAGGGTGCTTTTCAGGAGCAATATGGCACCAACAGAAGAGCTCTCATGCCAAAATTATTGATTGTCAAAGAGGGAAGAAGTCTCTTGCTAGTTGCCTTCGATAATTGCTTTGAAATTGGCAAAAACAATTTTTCAATTCCAGGGACCCAATTGTGTCTTTACCATGTACTGTTAAAATCTCAAAATTGTCAACTGTTACATTAGGAAGTCTAGAGTAAACATAAACTTTGCAGAAATACAGCCATTCTCTTAGAGTTTATATTCCAAATTCCCTCTGGAAAAGAAATAGTTACGACTCTTTTGTGACTGAAGTCTTTCATTCTTGAATGATTCTGTGTCATGAAGGGGACCTTAAAATGTACTTTCTTCAGTGTTCTGGTGATCTGTGAGATAGCATGTAGCCATGCACTAATGTAATGATAAAAAGGGAAGTTTGAGAAACTAGGCTTTAAAATCAACTTAAAGAACAACTTTCCATATTCTCATTTCTACATAAGAATTTTGTATTCCTACCCACATTTGGTAAAAATTTTGTGTTAATATCATACAGACATTTTTTGTGCTTTCTGATAATTCTGGTAGACATTTTGTTAAATAATTGATATATAGACATTATTTTTTATATTTTTATAAGAACACCAAACATATAACAGAGAGGAAATTTGCAACAAATTAAATATACCCCAAAACCCAAATACTTCAGGTAATTGTGCCAAAAACAGGAACAAAATTTCTTTGGAAAAATACATCAGTGAAAGACAAACTACAATACATGTAGTTTGAGAGGCAGGGTCCATATATAAAACACTATTACCTTTATTGTACAGAATTGCAAATTTTGATTTCATGCCATCAGTACAGGTCAAGTCTTAAAGTTAATATTGGTATCAAAAATGATAAATTTTCTAGAGTTTTTCAGATGGTACTAGAAATATTGAAAAACAAGAGAAAGTCTCATCTGGTGAAGACAAAAACATCAATCACAATTCAACCCTGGGAATGACAGACCAGAGGTGCCAGGATCCATCAATTGTAATCTGAATGTCAAATGGCACAGAATTCCACAACAGAGCAATGTGTGACAATTTGGCAATGAGGAAGACTGTGTTGAATCCTACACACCAATGCTGTGATGAGCCAAGTATATGTATGAGACACGGCATTGCCAGGGTTCTGATGGAACAGACCACCATCAGCCAGATAACGCCAAGTATCATGACTGCCATGATAGACAGTCTTCTGGGAGTCACAGGAATCAATTCAACAATACATCTACGAGCATCTACGAGTCAGAGTCAACATTCAGCAGTAGTGATATGTCAGTTTTATCTTTATTTTCAGGAAAATGAAATGTTTACAACAAGCATGTCAGTCGTATATTTGATGAAAGATAGATATTGAAATAGTGGAAATGTTACTCTATAGCACATTTAATTCTTTTCAGTGTGAATATATCAGATGTAAATCACATCTCGTTCTGAAACAAACTCTAATCAGTAGCATGGAAATTTGAAATGTAGAAACTCCAATACATTTTCAAAAAAAAAAAAAATATTCAATTATGATATTATATATCATATTTACAATTCACGCTCAAAACTTGCCAATGCCCAAATGGATGAGAAGCTATAAAAAATCAACAGACATGCAATACAGTCTACCAAGTAAATCATGTCATTTACTATGGCCATTTATTCATTTGGTTTTTTGAAAAAAAAAAGATCAGAAATGAAAACGAACATTCAGAAACAAAGATACATTCGTACGTTTAGACTAGATGTGTGTACAAAATCATGAGCATATCCCCAAATGCAATCCATGCAAGTACACAACAAAAAAACCTGTCCTAAAATGAAATGGAAAATTGAGGTCATCAACTTTGGTGGAAGAACCTTGCAATTGTAACAAATATATCACACTATCATCAAGAAAGCAGACATTTTCTGATGTCTATGTATTTGTTCGCTTGGTTTATAGTGAACAGCAAAGGTTATTTTGAGACAGGGTCTCTCTGTTAAAGAAGATGGTGATTACCTCAATGAATAACATATGAGAGGTCCATCACATACCATCCTGCACAATTAGGATTAAGTGTCTTGCAAAAGCACATAACCACAGGATAGTCCATTTCTAATAAATACCTGAAGTCCACGGAACCATGCACCTCAGCTCTTAACCTGATGGTGCCATCTAGCCCAATGCTCTATTTAACTGATAACTGTGCTAGGTAACACTCCCCTATCCCCACTCCCCCTATCCCCATCCCCATTAATCCTCACCTTCCATCACCATCCTAACCCCCATCCCCATACTCAACTCCATCCCCATCCCCTCCCCCCACTTTCCCATTCCCATCACCCATCCCTGTTTTCATATACATGATAAATCATTTAAATATCATTTTCTTGACTGGAAATTATTTTAATGTGATGTGGTCATTGATAACACAATTTTCCATTTTACAATCTATTTAGCTATGGCATCATAAGTTCCCTTACCCTTTTAAAATCATCTGGACTAAAACACAATTCCACTGGTAAGGCATATGATATAACATATATTTTCATCTATTTCTTGAAAATTCTCTAAAATTTTCAAAGAAGATACACTCATGGGTCACAATCAGTTTAAATTTAGAGATGGAATGTTGATGAAAGTAAATATGACTTGAAAGGAAAAAGAAGCCATGTTCAATGTGCAAACATTTGGAAGGAATAAATATTGATTGATGTTATCAAAGGAAGAGAAACATAATTTCTAGATATATATAACAATAAACAGTTGAAAATTAGGATAAATATATCACCAAAACAACAAGACCATCTGTACAAAACCAATCCACACGAATTGTGCAAATTGAACAAAATACGGAGGTGTGTCTAAGAATTGGTGACAGTACACTATAACTGCACTGTTTACCTGATTCCTTGTTTGCTACAAGTATACCAACAAACACATTCTTACTGCTTAATGAATTCATGCTATCGATCCATAAAGATTTCACACTTCAAATTTAACTAACATAACCTACAGCATCAAGTTTTAAATCACAAAATGATAATTTGTAAATTTCTATAATTGATCACTTTTATATTTTATATCACAAAACACCTAGCCTGGTGTGTAAAGTTAATTATGAAAATCAAATAATCTCATAACTGTCTACAGAATGGAGTCTTAAAAAATTTTCAGATTAGTTTTACTTTGTCAGCATAATATTTTCTGCAAAATTGTTTTTTCCCTCCTTTAGCATTTGAATTTCAGATTCATGCAATTCATTTTTTCACAAATTCTCATCTCCTGCAGAAAATTTTTGGATTTCTTCTGAATAATTAGCCAAATGTTTCCTTAAGGAAACTTTGCCTTGGGGGATGGAATGACTAATTCGTGACATCGGAGGCTTGAAATAGGGATTCATTAGTATGTCAGTGCATGTCAAGATCTTATTATATAACTTAAAACAAGGCCACCACAGGGAGGAACATTTAAATATCACATCGTTTGTCACATATGTCCAACAGAAATACAATGATTATCACATAATGCCTCTGAAAAAGCATACTATCTTGACATTATGGAAACTTCTACTGGGTTTGACTGATATTGGTGAGAAACTTTAATGAGATTGGTTGTAAACTTAAAGATTTCCAGACAATAATATCATTGTGTGAAAACAAAGGGCAGTAACTCTTCCAAATACAGTTAAATCAAACTTGTTTTTAAGAAGTTGATTAAGGCTCTGATGTTTGAAAGAGATCGCTAAAAAACTGTGAAAGTAGATTTCCAGACAAATAACTATATAAAAATGAACAAAATAATCAGGAAGATGTATAGTACATTGAGCGATACAAAAATGAAAAAAACTTCCTGCTGATTTGGAAATTGAAATAAAAACTTACAAACCCAAGATTAATAGTATTTTAGGAAAAACAAAACACGTCTCCACAATAATGACTACTGATTTCAAAATCAAAGGAATATCAAATGTAACACCAACTACTTGCTTTTATCAAAAGCACAGCATCCGTACCAAAATGACCTACCTATATTTATTTTCATGTTCATAAAGAACCATCATTACATTAACGAGAAACACATTCTATTCTGATGCCGCAGAACATCAAAATCTTCTGAATCAGAAATAAACAGCCAGCATCCTGGTATGTTTTTTGTGAGACATTTGTACCTAATGGAGTTATGTCTCTGTGATATCATCTACAGGGACATTTAAAACACATGTCTGTTATAATATAATGGATTCATCATTACTCAGCTAAGTGAAATCTCTCCTTCAGCAAAATCATCCTCGTCAAAACTTCATTTTTCTTAAGATATTTAATCCTTATTTCGAACAGAAACAGACTTAAAACTTGATGATTGTAAAAATGGTGGTAACAATTCTTGATCCATTTTCCATGCAGTACCCCACCAAAAAATCATTAGTACTGGATATACACTAAATGACTGAATATATATGCCTTGGTTTCACTGTAAAAAACAAAAATGAAGCTGACTCGTTCACAAGCTTAATTTATACCAAGGAAGCGTAAGATACAAACTTCCTACAGACATATGTGCGCTACTTCAGCTGAAGGAATCTGTACACATACGTGTTCTGCATTCATAAATCAAACTGATAATGTGTGTTTATAGCATTGTGAATGTCATTTCCTTCCAGTAGGTTTAACCTTATACAATCTTTAATAGAACCTTTTAACTTAGACCAAGAAATATACAAAGCCATGCGTCTGCATTAGACAATCATTCCTGATGTGGCTAAAAGCAACTTGAAACTACAATGTATCTATAAAAACTACACATTGGATTTACATTAGATAGCTAGGAAATAGTGAATAGGAATCACAATTTAAAAATCAATAATTTGGTATTTAAAAGAGAACTATTTTTTATTGTATTTTTTTTCTCTCTCAAGAATAAGAAGTTCAGTAAAACTCTAGTAGAATTGAAAATCATTTGTGTTACGGCAATGATGCTACTCTTGATTATTCAAATGATTGACAAACTATAAAATTTCACATCTAAAATTTACAATGAAATGAAATTATGATTTTATGAAAATAACATTTCTTTTTCTTTTTCAATTTTACAACATGAAATATTTGATATTCAAAATATTTTGTATTGAGATAAATGTTATGGATATCTAAGGTATTATTGTAACTTAAAATTTTTGTTTTTTGTTTTGTTTTGTTGTTTTGTTTTAGGCATGAAAAACATACTTTTATGTCTACAAGTTCATAATTATATAACACAATTGTCAAAGATAAATTTTAGACCTTTTAGAATTTTTAAAGCAGTTGGGTAGCTTTTTTTTCAATAGAATGTTAATGATCAGCTACTAGCTGTGTTCATGGTCTAAAACAAATCAGCAACCCCCTTTCTCACACAAATATGTGACTGTGATAATAAACGGCACACCATCAATTATTCATTATTGTGTGAATGCCCTTGAACTTTTTTGCAATTTTCAAAGTCAACGCTATAGCCACTCAATCCTGCGGGCCTCATTAATCTATTATTATCATTGTACAATGATTGCTCCCTGAGAACATTCCTAGGAGCTGGAGTACTGTCACACACAGTGGGTTAGGATAGCTCTGAAGGGGAGCATACATTTATCAAAACATTAAATTGTCTGTGAATGACACATCTCATCCTGGAGTAGACATCTTGGATTCATTTTATAGCTGAAGGAAGAATTATATAAGAGATAAATCTTGACCAAACACAATAAAGACCCAGGCATCTTCTCCCAGAGTACTTGGTCAATCCATTTTATTGTCCTTCACATTATGGGGTTAATTAATTCCCACAATATCAAATAAATCAATGTTCCATGTACTTGTGGTATCTTTCCCCTGATTCATGATGGCATAATGGCTTACAACTAATTTATCTGTATATGTGGATGTGTTGATATTGACAGGTGCACCCTGGGAAAGTGGACAGACAGCTGTTTCCACCATAATTCTATGTTAAAACAATGATCTTATTAAGAAATCAATCAACTTCAAAAATATTAAAAAATAAGTCATCATGAAAATGTAGAGTAATTATTCCTAGAAACTTAATTACCATATCAAATTGTTTCATATTTTCTCCTGTCAAAAACATGCAACAAAATGATTAAAATTGCAAGGGTTTGGGAAGGGATATGTGAAACACATTGTTAATTTTGTCTGAAAGATTCCTTATAAAGTAGAACCTTGCTGATCAGACTTCAAAGAAGCCCAGAAACCATTTACTCCTTATAATTCCTGGGGTCCTAAGATACTAAGATTCTAAAATGGACTACTATTTCAGTGATATATTTTATTCAATAATATACATGTTTAATCAAAGATCTAACAACAATGTCTTTTTAATATATGTTAAGAATATCAAATCAGCAGTGTTCCCTGAAAATATCAAAACATGCAACATTAGAATCAGATTGCCATTTAAGGTTTTCAAAATAGTTATTTACCTGTGAGACAATTTGTTGGTTTTCTTCTATGTTATGTCGTACCTGGATACCAGATGATAGCAGCACTCTGCAGGAAGAAAGACAAAATAAATCAGTATTTTGGAACATTTCTTCAGATGAGTGATGTCAATAGCATAGAAAATCTTATAACACAACCAGCAGAAGATGTAAGTGTGACGTTTCTATGACTACACGGTCACCTTCATCTTATAACGCAACCAGTAGAAGATGTAAGTGTGAGGTTTCTATGACTACACGGTCACCTTCATCTTATAACACAACCAGTAGAAGATGTAAGTGTGACATTTCTATGACTACACGGTCACCTTCATCTTATAACGCAACCAGTAGAAGATGTAAGTGTGACGTTTCTATGACTACACGGTCACCTTCATCTTATAACACAACCAGTAGAAGATGTAAGTGTGACGTTTCTATGACTACACGGTCACCTTCATCTTATAACGCAACCAGTAGAAGATGTAAGTGTGACGTTTCTATGACTACACGGTCACCTTCATCTTATAACGCAACCAGTAGAAGATGTAAGTGTGACGTTTCTATGACTACACGGTCACCTTCATCTTATAACACAACCAGTAGAAGATGTAAGTGTGATGTTTCTATGACTACACGGTCACCTTCATCTTATAAAACAACCAGTAGAAGATGTAAGTGTGATGTTTCTATGACTACACGGTCACCTTCATCTTATAAAACAACCAGTAGAAGATTAGAATGTGACATTTGGTGAATTCACAGGCACCTTCATTAGACAAATGACCAGTGTGAAGTGAACTAGCACTGATGTAAGTAGTGTACAAGATGGTAAAGAATTCACCAACTTTGTCAGTACCTTGCACCATGATCTTTCCCAGTTTTAAAAGAATTTAGATCTAATGCTAATACCAGTGTAAACAGGCGTAACCAATGATTCCAAAGCTCAAAGGCAGCAAACATTGCCAAATATTAAAACTATTGTACTGATCAAATAAGAAGGGTGTGGGACTTAGAAGCTGTGCCTTTTTCTGTTTTTTGGGTGAATACTGCTGATGTTAATTCCAACACACATAGAACACAAACAGCATTATCTCTGACTTAAGCTGGTTACTTGTATGTGTGGTACTGAAATAAAATTGTTTTAAGTTGAAAACACAGTTAACTAAATTTGAATCCAAAATGACAAACTCTCAAAAAGAGAACAATTCCTACAAAAAAATCACATAAAGAATGCAATAATTTTGTCTCAATGTTTTACAGTAGGAACTATGACAAAAAGCTTTACCAGATTTGCTATTCTTATACAATTTTATGAAGTTAGATAAAAAAAAATTCTACATATAGTTGGATGATATGCTAATCCTAGAAAGTACATCTTCACACAAGAAGAGAGAGGCAACCGTATGATACTGGCATGAAGGATCTCGGACAATCAATAAAGCAGATTATCTGACAGTAGCTGAGAAATAACTTTGGAGTATGGAGGTTCCCTTACTTTCCTATTGCCCTCATGGTTAGCATTAACATTGTAATAAGTCATTATCTAACTAATCAATCTAGGTTATTTCCCTTTGTGATTCCTGACTTATCTCCCCTCATTACTGCTGTCTGATATACAGCATGTTTTGTAGCTTAGTATATGAGATGTCACATGCGACTTACTCGTTTCTCTCCAGTCGTATCTTCTGTAATTTGCTTTGGATCATTAGCTCGTACGTCACATGTTTGTAGTGTTCAAAGGTTCCCTGCAGAGTTAAATGTTTAATTTCTTAGTTCAACATCATCATCACTTAACCAATAAAACAATCAAACACAAAGATATGCATTCATCCCGTAATTTCCTGGTTAATCAATGAATATACATGTTTACATTATATAATCAATTGTGACATAAGAATTAGATTTCAAGAAATGACATCACATGCTCACCGTCATATGCTCACCGTCACATGCTCACCGTCACATGCTCACAGATTGCATTGTGTCATTACAAATTAGAGATCTTATTAGATACAGAGCTGAAATGACTTAAAAGTCTGATGTAGAAATGTGTTCTACAATATTTGCCTGAATGATTGATCTTATACAGGCATTGGACAGCAGTCCTTACAGACAAAAATTGTGTAAGATTTATTCCAAAATGACTTTCTGAATGTAGTACTGATACGATACACAACCTAAACACAAAGGAAATAAAAAATCAGAAAAAATTCCTGTACTGTTGTACTAGTACATTACCAACATCTAACTAACAAATAAGTCATCTCTATCACTGTGTCAAAGAACTGAATTGTCCTGTTATAAGCCCATGACCTGACATTGAGTCAGTAGTGACGTGTTAACCTCATTGAATTAGTACAGAGTGTTGTTGTTCAAGTAAAGATTACAGAAGAATTTAGTGACATTTTCAATTGTGTAAGCCTCAATTCAATATCTAAAAGTCATGGCAAAAACAAATATTTTCAATTTTATGTACAATACGCCCAGGAGACCAAAATAAGTTTCTTCTTACTCAGAAGGACAAATTTACATAGTATCAGTATGTATTTTCACTAAAAAGCATTAATGTAAATTCAAGTGGACTTCTTACCAGCTATGAACTTTTGCTTGATATCACTTCCTACATTCATATTGTCATAAAAAAATATTGGTTTTAAAACCTTTGGGTTAATAACAGTAATTATTTTAAAAGCACAAATTATTCTGTTCAGAAACTGATTTGATTGAAAAGAACATTAAACATGACAATTCCTGAAAATATTACGCCTGCGGTAAACACTGACTACATCAAAAGACGAATCTCTGTGGAGCTATGCAACCCATTTAAAACCAGAAATTATGTAAAAACAAAACAAAACTGGTATCAAAATCATAAACATGCATCGTTAATCAATGTCAATGTGAAATTGATGTTCGAGTTTTGTTTGTTTGTAAATATTTGTATTGTTTTCATCATAATGTTGGGAGCTGATTCTAGTTTGTAATCAATTTTTATCTTTTTGAATTTTGTTTTATATTGAAATAGCAAAGTGAATATAAATGAAAATTAAAACTTGGCATTGCTGTAATCTAGAAAAACAATTAAAATCCATTTAATTAACACTAATATGACTCATCTTAAGCCGATTCCAGACATTAAGCTGATTTCAAACAATGGCACTGTAACAAAGATTATTTAAATGTTGTTGTCAAGGCTGCACAGCCACAGACAGAATTGTCACTCATTGCCTATCATCAAGCCTTTGTCGCATTTATCTTTTTGTTGATGATCAGGAGGAGTTACATTTATAATGGACAGACTGGCTGAGACTTTAGGGACATGACTTTCTGACAGACTGGCTGAGACTTTAGGGACATGACTTTCTGACAGACTGGCCGAGACTTTTGGGACATGACTTTCTGACAGACCGACTGAGACTTTAGGGACATGACTTCCTGACACACTGAATGAGACTTCGTGGCCATGACTTCCTGACAGACCGACTGAGATTTTGGGGCCATGACTTTCTGACAGACCGACTGAGACTTCGGGGGCCATGACTTCCTGACAAGACTGACTGAGACTTCGGGGGCCATGACTTCCTGACAGACCGACTGAGACTTCGGGGGCCATGACTTCCTGACAGACCGACTGAGACTTCGGGGCCATGACTTCCTGACAGACCGACTGAGACTTCGGGGGCCATGACTTTCTGACAGACTGACTGAGACTTCGGGGGCCATGACTTCCTGACAGACCGACTGAGACTTTGGGGGCCAAGACTTTCTGACAGACCAAAGGAGACTTTAGGGACATGACTTTCTGACAGACCGACTGCGACTTTGGGGCCATAACCTCCTGACAGACTGACTGAGACTTCGGGGGCCATGACTTCCTGACAGACCGACTGAGACTTCGGGGGCCATGACTTCCTGACAGACTGACTGAGACTTCGGGGGCCATGACTTCCTGACAGACCGACTGAGACTTCGGGGGCCATGACTTCCTGACAGACCGACTGAGACTTCGGGGGCCATGACTTCCTGACAGACCGACTGAGACTTCGGGGGCCATGACTTCCTGACAGACCAACTGAGACTTCGGGGCCATGACTTCCTGACAGACGGACTGAAACTTCCTGGCCATGACTTTCTGACAGACTGACTGAGATTTTGGGGCCATGACTTCCTGACAGACTGACTGAGACTTTGGGGCCATGACTTCCCAACAGACGGACTGAGACTTCGGGGGCCATGACTTCCTGACAGACGGACTGAGACTTCGGGGGCCATGACTTCCTGACAGACTGACTGAGACTTCGGGGGCCATGACTTCCTGACAGACCGACTGAGACTTCGGGGCCAAGACTTTCTGACAGACCAAATGAGACTTTAGGGACATGACTTTCTGACAGACCGACTGCGACTTTGGGGCCATAACCTCCTGACAGACTGACTGAGACTTCGGGGGCCATGACTTCCTGACAGATCGACTGAGACTTGGGGGCCATGACTTTCTGACAGACCGACTGAGACTTTAGGGACATGACTTCCTGACAGACTGACTGAGACTTTGGGGGCCATGACTTTCTGACAGACTGACTGAGACTTCGGGGGCCATGACTTCCTGACAGACTGACTGAGACTTTGGGGCCAAGACTTCCTGACAGACTGACTGAGACTTCGGGGGCCATGACTTCCTGACAGACCGACTGAGACTTCGGGGGCCATGACTTCCTGACAGACCAACTGAGACTTCGGGGCCATGACTTCCTGACAGACGGACTGAAACTTCCTGGCCATGACTTCCTGACAGACTGACTGAGACTTTGGGGCCATGACTTCCCAACAGACGGACTGAGACTTCGGGGGCCATGACTTCCTGACAGACGGACTGAGACTTCGGGGGCCATGACTTCCTGACAGACTGACTGAGACTTCGGGGGCCATGACTTCCTGACAGACCGACTGAGACTTCGGGGGCCATGACTTTCTGACAGACGGACTGAGACTTCGGGGGCCATGACTTCCTGACAGACTGACTGAGACTTCGGGGGCCATGACTTCCTGACAGACCGACTGAGACTTCGGGGGCCATGACTTCCTGACAGACCAACTGAGACTTCGGGGCCATGACTTCCTGACAGACGGACTGAAACTTCCTGGCCATGACTTTCTGACAGACTGACTGAGATTTTGGGGCCATGACTTCCTGACAGACTGACTGAGACTTTGGGGCCATGACTTCCCAACAGACGGACTGAGACTTCGGGGGCCATGACTTCCTGACAGACGGACTGAGACTTCGGGGGCCATGACTTCCTGACAGACTGACTGAGACTTCGGGGGCCATGACTTCCTGACAGACTGACTGAGACTTCGGGGCCATGACTTCCTGACAGACTGACTGAGACTTCGGGGGCCATGACTTTCTGACAGACTGACTGAGACTTCGGGGCCATGACTTCCTGACAGAGTGACTGAGACTTCGGGGGCCATGACTTCCTGACAGACCGACTGAGACTTCGGGGCCATGACTTCCTGACAGACTGACTGAGACTTCGGGGGCCATGACTTCCTGACAGACTGACTGAGACTTCGGGGGCCATGACTTCCTGACAGACCGACTGAGACTTTGGGGGCCAAGACTTTCTGACAGACCAAAGGAGACTTTAGGGACATGACTTTCTGACAGACCGACTGCGACTTTGGGGCCATAACCTCCTGACAGACTGACTGAGACTTCGGGGGCCATGACTTCCTGACAGACCGACTGAGACTTCGGGGGCCATGACTTCCTGACAGACCAACTGAGACTTCGGGGCCATGACTTCCTGACAGACCGACTGAGACTTCGGGGCCATGACTTCCTGACAGACCGACTGAGACTTCCTGGCCATGACTTTCTGACAGACTGACTGAGATTTCGGGGCCATGACTTCCTGACAGACTGACTGAGACTTTGGGGCCATGACTTCCCAACAGACGGACTGAGACTTCGGGGCCATGACTTCCTGACAGACTGACTGAGACTTCGGGGGCCATGACTTTCTGACAGACTGACTGAGACTTCGGGGCCATGACTTCCTGACAGACTGACTGAGACTTCGGGGGCCATGACTTCCTGACAGACCGACTGAGACTTCGGGGCCATGACTTCCTGACAGACTGACTGAGACTTCGGGGCCAAGACTTTCTGACAGACCAAAGGAGACTTTAGGGACATGACTTCCTGACAGACTGACTGAGACTTTGGGGGCCATGACTTTCTGACAGACTGACTGAGACTTCGGGGGCCATGACTTCCTGACAGACTGACTGAGACTTTGGGGGCCAAGACTTCCTGACAGACTGACTGAGACTTCGGGGGCCATGACTTCCTGACAGACCGACTGAGACTTCGGGGCCATGACTTCCTGACAGACTGACTGAGACTTCGGGGCCAAGACTTTCTGACAGACCAAAGGAGACTTTAGGGACATGACTTCCTGACAGACTGACTGAGACTTCGGGGGCCATGACTTTCTGACAGACTGACTGAGACTTCGGGGCCATGACTTCCTGACAGACTGACTGAGACTTCGGGGGCCATGACTTTCTGACAGACTGACTGAGACTTCGGGGCCATGACTTCCTGACAGACTGACTGAGACTTCGGGGGCCATGACTTCCTGACAGACCGACTGAGACTTCGGGGCCATGACTTCCTGACAGACTGACTGAGACTTCGGGGCCATGACTTCCTGACAGACTGACTGAGACTTTGGGGGCCATGACTTTCTGACAGACTGACTGAGACTTCGGGGGCCATGACTTCCTGACAGACTGACTGAGACTTTGGGGGCCAAGACTTTCTGACAGACCAAAGGAGACTTTAGGGACATGACTTCCCAACAGACGGCCTGAGACTTTGGGGGCCATGACTTTCTGACAGACTGACTGAGACTTCGGGGGCCATGACTTCCTGACAGACTGACTGAGACTTTGGGGGCCAAGACTTTCTGACAGACCAAAGGAGACTTTAGGGACATGACTTTCTGTCAGACCGACTGCGACTTTGGGGCCATAACCTCCTGACAGACTGACTGAGACTTCGGGGGCCATGACTTCCTGACAGATCGACTGAGACTTGGGGGCCATAACCTCCTGACAGACTGACTGAGACTTTGAGGCCATGACTTCCCAACAGACGGACTGAGACTTCGGGGCCATGACTTTCTGACAGACTGACTGAGACTTCGGGGCCATGACTTCCTGACAGACCGACTGAGACTTTAGGGACATGACTTCCTGACAGACTGACTGGAGACTTTGAGGCCATGACTTCCTGACAGACCGACTGAGACTTCGGGGGCCATGACTTCCTGACAGACCGACTGAGACTTCGGGGCCATGACTTCCTGACAGACCAACTGAGACTTCGGGGCCATGACTTCCTGACAGACCGACTGAGACTTCCTGGACATGACTTTCTGACAGACGGACTGAGATTTCGGGGCCATGACTTCCTGACAGACTGACTGAGACTTTGGGGGCCATGACTTCCTGACAGACGGACTGAGACTTTGGGGCCATGACTTTCTGACAGACTGACTGAGACTTCGGGGGCCATGACTTCCTGACAGACCGACTGAGACTTCCTGGACATGACTTTCTGACAGACGGACTGAGATTTCGGGGCCATGACTTCCTGACAGACCGACTGCGACTTTGGGGCCATAACCTCCTGACAGACCGACTGAGACTTCGGGGGCCATGACTTACTGACAGACCGACTGAGACTTCGGGGGCCATGACTTACTGACAGACCGACTGAGACTTTAGGGACATGACTTTCTGACAGACCGACTGAGACTTTGGGGCCATAACCTCCTGACAGACTGAGTGAGACTTCGGGGCCATGACTTACTGACTGAGACTTCGGGGCCATGACTTACTGACTGAGACCTCTGGGCCATAACCTCCTGACAGACTGACTGAGACTTTGTGGGCCATAACCTCCTGACAGACTGACTGAGACTTTGTGGGCCATAACCTCCTGACAGACTGACTGAGACTTTGTGGGCCATGACTTCCTGACAGACGGACTGTGGCTTCGGGGCCATGACTTCCTGACAACCAGACATGGGCCTACCACTGGACAAATACGGCAGTATATGTGTTTATTAAATTACTGAATAAATCTAGTCCCAGTCAACATTCTAACACATGTATAACCATATTGGTTGACCAAAATAACCTAATTCTACAACCTGTATTAAGCATGGTATACATCAGAAAATTACATGTTCAGTGTCTTAAATTATATGCTGTATTTAGGCAAGGATACAGAAAGACTAAAGTAGTGAGCTATTCATTTTGTAATAAAATCTAAAGTTACTGCAGCGCACATCTTAAGTAAAGTCAATACACAACATATACATACATATACCGTTTCAGTATGGAACACCATCAAATGTTCCGCCCGACACCTGCCTAGGCAAGTTTTACACAGGAAACCAATATGTCTGTCTGGCATTGCACATTGTATACCAGTCATCTGCACACCTCGGGAATGTCGTGGTGCAGGTTATTGCGTTTCTGCGCATTTTTATTTATTTTATGTGTCACTTCCAGCTCTCTAGGTGTAGGGCTCTATAATGTAATATTTGCACTGCCAGACTCCTAGGAGACCAGACTTTTCTCAGGTCCTTTTCTATGTTTAGATGTAAAAATCCTTGTCAAGCAAAACTATATCCATAGCACCCCCATTGTTACTAGCTGCCTTCCAAGATAAAAATTTAGGGATAGCACATCCAAAGAAATAACACCTGAGCTGTACTCACTGAAAAGTGTTATATTTCTCAAATATTTTGTTTACATTTTGCAATATTTCAGTACAATTATTTTAGAGTTAGCCACCCACTTTTTCTCTATGTGTAGGGTATATTCTACATAATACAAAATTATTTTGGATGTCCTGATATTGAAAAAATCAAACTTGGTACACAGTTCTGTATCAGTTTGTAAATATTAATGTGATCTACATTTGACCTTGTACCCTGCACAACGGGACACTAATATATAATCTAAGCCTTAAGCAAATAAATCAACAAAATATTGCTCTAACAATAAGCCTTGAGGTAACCACCTCTGCATGATAAACAAATAATACATTTGTCTGGCCTTACTGCAGAACAAACAAAAACAATAATTTATATGTCTGACCTTTAACTGCAGCTTATGTTAAAGTCATAGACTTATACCACATTAATTTTACCTTATTGTAAGCCAGTGTCTGATAGAAGCCAATATGTCTGGCCTCACAGCAGTGTAATGATAAAACCAATATTCCATTTGTCTGATCTTTCATTGCAGTGTATGATAAAAACCAAAGCTTCATTTGCCTTGCCTTTAAATGCACTGTATGACAAAACCATGCAATATTATAACTGTCTGGGCTTATTGTAGTGTATGATATACATATAATACCAATACCACTTTCAGTCTGGCCTTACTGCAGTGCATGATAAAAAGATATATACCGGCACTGAAATATATGTTTGGCCATATTGCAGTGTACAGTAAAACAAATATTGCATCTGCCCAGCCTCAATACAGTGCACTACATGCTTAAAGTCAGCCAATCGGAAGTGTGCACCCTCAAGAGAACGACTACAAAGGTTAGGTTCCTGAAACTAATTAGTACCTTCAGCAGAGATCAAAAATAAAAATAAAACTGTTTTATGATTTGAATTACAGGTTGTGTGTAGAGTCAGGAAGATCTCACATGCTCGGCTATAAATGGAATCAATAACACTTGGTTGGAGCAATAAAATGTCACATAGCCATCATAAGGTATACAAATAACATAGTCCAAACTTAACAAGCTCTACAATGAGGAACATTGATTAAAGCTGAGTGGGTGTAGCAATATCACCTCTTATACTGCCTTTGTTATATCATGACCATGCAGTTTTATTGCACTGATATAAATATTTCACTCATATATGAATCTTACAATTGTCCGTTATTGTATCAATTGAGGAAATGTTTTGATATTTTGTGGAAATTGGAAAGACTGTAAAACAAGGCAAAAATATCACTGAAAAGGTATATCAAAGAGTTGGATTTCTTCGTGTACATACATAAGTTTGTAATTGTCCATGTCATCTATGTCCATATAAGTTAAACACACAATGTAATACTGTAACACTAAAGGACATCTTGTATATACTTGAATCATTCCAGGGCCCATCTAACCCACACTTACATGGTGCTTGATTTGGTGCTCCTTGGTGGATATTCCGATGGCTTTGTTTCGTCGTACGATACGTTTTGGAAAGATGATTTCGTAGGGCCGTGGGACGTTCGTTAGTAGGTGACGGTTGTATTGGGTCTGAAGCAATGTGGCCATGTCATGTTTGTCTGGAAATTAAAGGGAAAATGAGTTATTGAAAATGCTTCATTTGTTTTCTGATGTCAATAACCAGCTAACTTCAAGGTCAACCACAAAAACAAGATAAGACATCAAAGAATCAGTATTTACATACATGTGTCTGAACTCAATCCTAATAAATATATAGGTACGTTCATGTATATAAGACAATAAGCCCATGTTTGGTAATAAGCCATCCCATATGTATTGCTGATAAAAATTACAAACAGATACAATTAATAAGCCCATCAACTATTTTACAGTTCTCATTTATAGTGGGTTAAATTTTCTAATTCTAATGGATCAATTTAGACAAGTAAGTAACATTTGTCCCTGGAACTCGTACGTAGATTTATAACTCGCTATAGTTGATGAAAGTAACTTGATTACAAAACCAAGCTAGGTCATTTTATCATTCACAGTGACTGGATTAGATGACCAAGCTGGGTCATTTTATCAATGACACTGACTGGGTAAGATGACCAAGCTGGGTCATTTTATCATTCACACTGACTGTATTAGACGACCAAGCTGGGTCATTTTATCATTCACAGTGACTGGATAAGATGACCAAGCTGGGTCATTTTATCAATGACACTGACTGGATAAGATGACCAAGCTGGGTCATTTTATCATTCACACTGACTGGATAAGATGACCAACCAAGCTAGGTCATTTTATCATTGACACTGACTGGATTAGACGACCAAGTTTGGTCATTTTATCATTCACAGTGGCTGGATTAGACGACCAAGTTTGGTCATTTTATCATTCACACTGACTGCATTAGATGACCAAGCTAGGTCATTTTATCATTGATACTGACTGGATTAGACGACCAAGTTTGGTCATTTTATCATTCACACTGACTGCATTAGATGACCAAGTTTGGTCATTTTATCATTGATACTGACTGGATTAGACGACCAAGTTTGGTCATTTTATCATTCACAGTGACTGGATTAGACGACCAAGTTTGGTCATTTTACCATTCACAGTGGCTGGATTAGACGACCAAGCTAGGTCATTTTATCATTGATACTGACTGGATTAGACGACCAAGTTTGGTCATTTTATCATTGACACTGACTGGATTAGACGACCAAGTTTGGTCATTTTATCATTCACAGTGGCTGGATTAGACGACCAAGCTAGGTCATTTTATCATTGACACTGACTGGATTAGACGACCAAGTTTGGTCATTTTATCATTCACAGTGGCTGGATTAGACGACCAAGCTAGGTCATTTTATCATTGATACTGACTGGATTAGACGACCAAGTTTGGTCATTTTATCATTGACACTGACTGGATTAGACGACCAAGTTTGGTCATTTTATCATTGACACTGACTGGATTAGACGACCAAGTTTGGTCATTTTATCATTCACACTGACTGCATTAGATGACCAAGCTAGGTCATTTTATCATTGATACTGACTGGATTAGACGACCAAGTTTGGTCATTTTATCATTCACAGTGACTGGATTAGACGACCAAGTTTGGTCATTTTACCATTCACAGTGGCTGGATTAGACGACCAAGCTAGGTCATTTTATCATTGATACTGACTGGATTAGATGACCAAGTTTGGTCATTTTATCATTGACACTGACTGGATTAGACGACCAAGCTAGGTCATTTTATCATTGATACTGACTGGATTAGACGACCAAGTTTGGTCATTTTATCATTGACACTGACTGGATTAGACGACCAAGTTTGGTCATTTTATCATTCACAGTGACTGGATTAGACGACCAAGCTAGGTCATTTTATCATTCACACTGACTGCATTAGATGACCAAGCTAGGTCATTTTATCATTTAAGTGGACACATAGGAAAAGCTAGGACATCCAACTACATTCATGTAGCACATTTAAATCTTCATACATTTTACTAATATATGTGTGAATATTAAGGTAAAACAGCAATTAACTTGAACCAATAACGTCTTCATTTATTTTTCACAACCTTTCCCTACAGCTCCAATCTCTATATGTGTTGATAATGTCTAAGATATACACTGCATCATATGTCAGTACTAACTTATGGCTAATTACAATCATTCCTTTATGCCTGATACCCTGACAGATTTAATCTCTGCCTCCTGTATAACAACACCATCCCTGTGATCATACTTGTGGAATCATCATAATTAGTATCTATCACCATAGGGGGCACTGTATGTCTTTAGGACAGATACAAATACATTCTGGAAGAAGACATATTATCATGTATTCTAGCGGTAGTATATAGGATCTTTAATGACTTTTCTTTTGTATCAGATTTGTATGAGATGGGTCTCAGAAAATTTTATTTTCTGCATGTCCTTATATCACATTAAGACTAGGTCAACGTAAAATTGCGGAGGACAAAATCAAATGGAGACATCATGACATCAAAATCAATTTCTGACTTGTGCAGCCAATGAAAAACCTTCCATGGTATATATCACTAGTAGCAAATACATCACAATGGTGAATTTACAACATGAAGATTGTGTGAAGAAATTCATTCATCTTCTTTACTGGAAGACTGGGTCTCAAAGGGACTGAACCCAGGACATCTGGTCATTCATAGGCTGAAAAGCTCTATATTGTCCTAAAGGGAATTCACCCTACATATTTTAAAATCAATCCTCTTGTTTTTTAAGGGTTGCAATTCTGTTTAGTGTGTAAGACAGCCAAAAGTAATACTACTGTGATTCTTCTTTCATTTATAACAGAGTTACTTCCCTTGGTAATACACAATCCATCTATGTTAACATAATGGAGTCCAATAGGCTTTAGCTAGGCATTTCATAATATCTAAATTCTGTGTCTAATATTTGAAATTGCCACTCTTCTGTTTGTTCAAACAACTTCCATTTTGTATAAAAAAAAATAAAAGCTTTATCATGTTCAGTAAATTTGAATAATATCCCAATTGCCAATCAGTTATTATACTGCACTGCCAGTAGCCAATTACAGTATATAGTAACATTATTGTAAATCTAACATTTCTAACAAAGATATCATGATATAGAACTGTGCTCACTGAAATGTATACTCATCAATCTCTATCCAGTTTATTTTAGCTATGTGAGAGAAGGGTTTTTTGCGATATTATTTTTCAATCCATGTGATACAGATATATCCTAGCTAGTTTGTGCAAAAGTAATACTTATTAAAAACACCACACTAAAAAAACTACAGGATAAATGACAAAGGCAAGACAACCATGATAAATATTTAATGTCTTTGTCAGTTTTTACCAATCACAGAGAAACACAACCTGGTAAAGTAATTATCCAAATCATTTAGTATGATCAAATTGCAAGTCTCTTAATTGTTGTAAAACAAAAAGAAAATTCCAGTGATGAGTGTAGACATATATATAAAGGTGTGATGTTCGACAACTGTACTGTAAGGACAGAACCAGCATCATTCGTAATTGTGGATGAGAGTGACACTAGAAATAGACCCATTCCAAAGCCAAGCACCAAACACCTTCAAAGACACATCTCCAGGCAACTGGAACCTTGCCAAATCAGTTATTAGGCCTCCACTTTGAATGCAGGAAGAACCAGTGTGTGGCAGAAAGTTGGTAAAAAACCTCTTCTACACCAGGAAAACAGACCCCACCAATGTACTCCAAACAGAACACTTCCAACCAAAGTCACCTAGATATCTGAATGACTTTGCAGGATTCAAAGATTGGTTAATATATGTCTGTTCATACAACGTAGATAGTGTTAAAACCATTTAAACTCATGATTACCAACTAATGTATAGGGTAGATATAATAGCATATTTTTGCCAGTGATAAGCCCACACTGCAAGATTCTAACTGTACCATCTGAATTCAGGGTGTTCTGACATAAATACCAATGAGTTACAAACAGCCCACCAGCAGTATGTCAAATTCCTCCCTAAAACCATTCTCTAATAAAAATTTTCTCCTGTTTCGTCAATTTCAATTTTCCAAATTGTGATGATTCCTTTACTATTTTTCAGCTTGGTTGTGAAGTAAGTTTTGAATAGAACATGCCTTTGAGCAATACATAGCCGGTATTAAAGTTACATGCATTGGTCTTTCAAAATGGGGACTGAATTTTTTATAAGGTCATGTCATACTTTGTCTTGAAAAGGAGAGTATCAATGTATTTTTGAAAATAACATATATGTTTATAATATGAAAATTGAGCTTTATTTTTAAATGCTTAAACCAAATGTATTTCTTTTGAAGAGATTATAAGTAACTACAGTATCATTTTATTGGTGTTGTTTTACTGTCCTTAGAGCTTCATTTGAATGTCTTTCTTATTCCAGATGCAAAGCCTAGAGTGGAGCTAATCAGCATAACCCACAAAGTGACTCCAATGTACCTTACCATTATTATAAGAGTTTTTACTTATCAAATAAACAAAGTACAAAATTTGTCTGGTATCTGATATAAATCATAGACTAAAACAATCTACACCTAGTCAACAACAATCTGTGACCTTTTGACCCTATACAATAATGGTTAACCATATACAATGCATAGGAAAAAACTTCAAGAATTATTATCGTCACCAACCATCTTTACACAATTATATAAACAATTACCTGCCTAATCCTATCTTCCTCAAAGAAAATCCCTGACTCCAAATTTTAATATCTTGGCTATGTTTCGTTTGACATTCAAAGCTTGGCTTCTTTTTCATTTTCATGTTTAAGTGTAAATTCAAGGATATGGCCATTTAATGATAACCTGTCTTACTGCAGACTCTAATGGTTTAATTCCCTTTTATCAAGATTTCATCTTAAACATACTGTTTCTATAAATACAATGACATGAAAGTGTCTATAACACACGAACGCCCCCATTTGTTCTAAACCAGAATCTGTGCAATCAAATAAAACTTGATGATATTATGATACTATATGTTAAGTTCATTGACCAAGGGACAGAGTCACGAAGTGATAGGATAATACAATTTGATGCTGGGTAATATCATATG